AGATGTGGAAAAGCACACGGGAGGTTCCTGGGTGAATTTGTTGAAGTGTGATGAGTTGTATGCATAACCTGTTCTTTGAACACTTCACCTCCCAGGATTGGTTTTTACAGAAACAAGAGGGCTGAGTTTATAAAAGATTTAGCTGTGAGTTGCTGTGGAGTGGGAGCAGTAGGAGGAGAACAGAGGCTGCATCTCTTCTGGCTTGGAGGGCACTGCTGGCCCTTGTGGCTTTGCAGTTGAACCTGTGGGCATTGATGTCACTGGGATTAATCCAGTTCACTGCCAGCCCTCAGCCTGGTGTAACTTGGACACTTCCCTGCAGTGGGTGTTGGGTTCATGCTGTCATGGAGTGTGAAGCAAAGTGAGTAACACTGCTGTGGAAAGTCAGGGCTGATCTCACCCGTGCTGCCTCTGCGAGCTGTTCTGCGTGCTGGCTGAGAGGAGCTGACCTTGCTGTGGGGTGGCACAGCCCAGGCTCTGGGTCTTGGGAGCTCTGAGAGGCCCTGGCATTCCTTGAGCACTGAGGGGAAGCGGCTTTTTTTGTGAGCACTGAGGGGAAGTGGCTTTTTTTCAGTCAAGTTGCATAACCAACCCCTTGAGAAACCTCTCCCAGTGTCTCGTGGCTGCTGCTTCATAGCACTGCTGTTGTGCAGAGCCCTGCAGCTGTGCCCCAGCACTTGTCTCTGGTTGTGTCTAAGAAGTCAGCCTGCTGTGTTTAAAAAACATTTGGTTTTTTACAAGGCTGGGAGAATGTAGTTCATTGCAACAGCTATTATTTTTATTATCTGGAAAATTTCTTTTGTAGAAGTCCTGCCTAACTGAGGTGTCACAGCCTGGTTTATATTGCAGCTTTGTAGTGCAGGTGGATGTTTATGGGACAGTTTGGGATGGAAGAGGCTCTGTGAGCTCATCCAGTCATGCCTCTGCTCAAAGAGGGTCAGTTGTGAGTCCCTTCCAGCTCAGGGTATTCCATCATTGTGTGGTCAGACAAGTTTACTCCAGTCCATTCATCTTCCCCACATTAAGGTATCACACAGAGCTGTTGAAGTCTCCTTAAACATGCTGGTTTGTGGTTTTTTTCAGCCCTCAAGAAATCAATAAGGAGGAACTGGAAGGAAACAGCATGAGGTGTGGTCGCAAACTGGCCAAGGATGGTGATGTAAGTGTGGCACGTGGCAAGCTGCAGGGCTGGCATGGCTGAGGCAAGTCAGGCATTTCCAAATCTTGTAGGTCCTCATTGTCAAACTGCATCCAAAAGATGTCATGGAGAAAGATACTATTTTTTTGCTCCCCAGAGAGATGGAAGCCATGTCTGCAAGGAGCAAGGAGCTGGTGTTTCATTGTGCTCTTGTGCTGTGAGACTGGGAAAGCTGTTGGTCCAGGCAGTTAGATACAGCTCTGATCACTGGATTAGCTGGAGAAGGAAGTTCTGTAGATAAAATGTGTAACATTCTGAGCCAGGGCCCCTCGGTGTCTTTAGGTAACAGGTCTTGTGAAATGAGCCAAGACCATGAATTTTTCCCGTTGCAGTCACACAACCCAAGGCGTTCTCTGGGGCCTCACAGATCAGCCCCATTACCCAGTGCTGAGTATTTGATACCCATTGCTGTGCCATGTGTTCTGCCTGTCTGGGAGGCAGCTGACACTCAGCTGCTGTCACACAGCCCCCTGCAGTGTCCAGTTGTCCCCAGGGAGTTCTCTGTCCCAGACAGAGATCCCTGAACCCCCCAGCGCAGCTCAGAGCCCGCGGAGCTGTCGTGGCCCTCCTGCTGCGTGTCACAGCCCATCCTCAGGCTGTGTGCCCTGTGTGTGTGTCCCCTGTGCGTGTCCCCTCTGTCCTGCAGTACTGCTGGCGCTGGACTGGCTTTAACTTTGGTCTGGACCTGCTGGTGACCTACACCAACCGCTACATCATCTTCAAGCGCAACACGCTGAACCAGCCGAGCAGCGGCTCCGTCAGCCTGCAGCCGCGCCGCAGCATCGCCTTCAGGTGCACCCAGCCTCCCTCCCTCCCTCCCTCCCCGCTGCCAGCCCTGCTGGTTTTGTCAAAAGTGTCACCCTGTCTCCCGGGGAGGAGCTGCTGGTGCTGGAATTGGGGAGGCTGAAGCGGCCTGTGCCCACCCGCAGGTTGCGGCTGGCCTCGTTCGACTGCAGCGGGAAGGTGATTTGCAGCAGGACAACGGGGTACCAGATCCTCACCCTGGAGAAGGACCAGGTGTGTCTGTGGGCTTGGGTGCTGCACTTCAAGGCATGAAAAAAATGCTGAGAAGTCACCAGTGCTTTTGAAGGGGAGTTGCTGTTCCTGTTGTCGGTGCTTATGTGGAATCTCAGGCATTCCTGTTAGAGGCAGTGGGTAATTAAGCTAATTTGTGAAGTGGATCTAGAGGAGGGTAGTGTGGGTTTCATGAGTGTTGATAATATGGAATTAGTTCCCATATTAGTGAAATGAGTGCCTGTGGTGCTGCTGTCTGCTGCCAGTGCCATGTTCAGCTGCTCTTCAGCATCACCCTCTGTATAATCTGGCCATCAGACTCCTCATTTAGAGGCAAATTCAGAATGTGAAGACTCTCATAAACTGAGGAGTTAAAAGAATGTCTGCATGTTGTTTCAGGGTTAGATTTATTACTCTATTAAATGGATTGAAGAAAGCTCCAGAGAGGAGTGGAGTTTTCTTAGAGCAAGTGCCCTTTTCCACCCATTGCTGACAGCAGGATTTAGTGAGGCATGTATGGGACTTGTTAATCAAGTTTCTCAAATGCCAGCCAGCATTGATACAAAGGTGGTGAGAACACAGAAAACCTTCCCTTGTCGGTGTCATCCTTACTGGAGGGTGAAGTTTCAGTTTTGAAGTTTCAGTTATTTTGCATCCTCACGAGGTTGAAGTTTCAATTTTGCTTCCCCAAAACCAGTTCCTAGAGTGGAACCAAAAAATTCCTACCCACAAACTGAAGTTTGCTTTCTCTTGTGGAATGCCTGGTTGGTGAAATCTCCCACATCTGAAAATGGTCCCTTTCCCCTCAGCATGTTGGGGGGAAATTTGCTCCAGCATTTGCTGTGGCTGTTCCCTGTGCTGCAGAGGGCTGGGAGCTGTGGGCACCCTGAGAATGTGCCAGTGTTACAAATTTGAGGTGTAAAAATTTACATTTTTACATCCTGATGTAAAGTGAGTGCTGTGCTTTCTGGTCCCCCTCCCCACACAAATGTCCTGTGTGCTCCAGGAGCAGATCGTGATGAATTTGGACAGCAGACTCCTGACCTTCCCCCTCTACATCTGCTGCAACTTCCTCTACACATCCCCAGAGAAGAGGGCAGACAGCGAGGCACAGCTGGAACATCTGGAAGCCTGAGAGCTCCCTGGGGGCTGTGGCAGCAGCCCTGGCCTTAGTGCTCTCCTATGCAGCTCAGACATTAAGCAGGCCAAAACCAGTCGTCCTTTTTAATTTTTTAAAAATTTTATTTCTGTTCTGCATTGTCAGGCAGCAGCCATTCCGTGTTTGAGAAGTGTTGTTACACTTGGGCTTTTCTGGGTGAAAACTGAGCCAAACTGGAAATAGGGAATTTGTGTGGATCACAGCTTAGGAAATGACCTGAGCACACATTGTAGGTTGTGTGGGTTTTGTTAGTGTGGGTTTTGGTTGTATTATTTGTTGGGTTTTTAAATAACTGATCTGTAAATACCAGATCCATATTTTGCTTTTTTTCTGGTCCTTTTGTCTTAGGGCCAAACAATCTCTGTAAATGTGGCATCTCAGCTTTGGTTATTTAACTGCACAGCCTTTCCCACCTGATGGGTTTAAGCTTTTTTTGCATCTCACACACACATTTCCTTCTTGGTCTTGTTCTAACGCTGCAGCCAATAATTCTCTGTCTTTTAGCAGGTTAATTTACTAATGAGGATATTCATAAATGAATTATTTTTCCATGTACAGCAAGTACTCCAATATCCTCACCAGTACTTGCTGCTGTCAGCAGCAGCTCTCAGCTGGAGTTCTGCTGAGTGCTGACTCTACTCACACAAACCAAATACCAGTTTTTAAACATTTTCTGTGGCTTCTTTTAGCTGTTACCTTGGGAATACATCCCATGTTAGCTCAGGAACTTGTGACTTTCCAGTGCCTTTTGAGTTGTATGTGTAACACCAACTTCACATCAGTTCAGCAAGGTCACAGGATCCAAAGGCAGAGCTGGGAACAAGAGATTCCTCTCCACTTGCTGTGATGGATGAGTCGTGTCATGGTACACTCTCTTCAGTCTTTGTTGGGTTTTATGTTTGTCTCTTACAATTTTCAATTCTTACAGCAGGATTTTTTGATTCAAACTGGGACTTTTTGCCTCGTTAGCCTATTTTTTTAATGTCAGAAAAATATAAAACCATTTGTACTTTATAACAAGGGTAAAAAATGTATTGGGCGAGATAGAAAAACGTGGCAACGTGTCAGTAAATGATTTCAAGTGGAATATTTGTCCATGTGTGTCCTTTCCTGCTGGGAGCAGCTTTTTGTGCTGGATTCACCCTGTGGATTCAGCACCTCACTGTGCTCTTGTGTTGTGTCACAGCTTTGGCAGCAGAGAGCAGCAGCATTTTCAGCTGTTCAGCATCCAATTTCCTTACAGAATTAACTGTATTTAGATACTTAACTCTGGTTTTAATTAGAAGTTAAGATTGATCCTGTGGAAAGCAGCAGGGGCAGCTGGTTAATGGCAGAGGGAGCAGCTACCTCAAATCCAGGTGGGTTTTTGCAGCACCTCAAAGTCTGAGCTGTGCAGGGCCTGATCCCCAGGGCTCCCCCCACACCCACCCATGATGTGGAGCAGGAAACTCATCTTGGTTTTTATTTTCCAGGCAACAACCCCTTCCCTTGATCCCTGGCTGTCCCAGTGCCCTCGTGGCTGTGTGGCACTGCCAGTGCCAGGGGACAGCCCCTTCCCAGGGCCAGCATCAGGGATTTGGGACTGCTGGGGGGCACAGGGGCAGAGACACACGACACTGAGCCCAGCAGTGGCTGGTGGTTGTTTTTCTCTGGTTTATTGTCACTGAGGAGCAGCAGTGGTGGCCGAGGGGAGCTGAGCAGTACAACACCACACTCAGGAGAACGGTATGAAAAGTACAAAAATAAGGAGGCCTATATATAATAATCATTGCAGTCAATTGCTAAAAATAAATATTGTAAACACGAGAGAACAACATCAGGTGAATCTACAGCACTGGTTTCTGCCAGCAGCCACACAGTCTTTGGCTTTAGCACTCCCCTGCCCACTCTGAGATGCATTTTCTTTGCTTCAGGCCAGAAAGATTCCACACTGGTCAGGGATGTCACAAGAGAAAAAAATTTTCCTTGAGAACAGGAATTGCCTCTTTTTGCCTTCAGTGCCCATTTTTGTGCCAGAGCAAGCAGATGATCAGCCCAAAGCATTTTCCTTGTCTGGAGGGGCCTGGGGTGAGGCTTTGTTGTTACCTTGTACCTCCCAGCCCTGCACGCTGCATTTTGCCAGTTTTGCACCTCTGCCTTGCACTTGGACCTTTCACCCCCTTATCTCTCTGACAGCCAGATGGGTTTGGATTGCCTGATAAGGGAGAGCAGGCAGGGAGTTATCTCGGGTCAAACTGCACCTGAGCTGCTGCCAGGCCAGAGATCTGTGCCCCACTGATACCCTGGGGCCACTGAGCACGAGCTTCTCCCTGCCAGCCTTGGACTCCAGGAAGGGAAGAGGCAAATTCTGCTTGCCAGTCTCAGTAATTTGCTGATTGTGTTCATATAGATCTACATATATTTTAAAAGCCCCATAAAATCCTGTCCAAAGTATCAAGGAAAGAGAGATTTGCCAGGGAGGGAAGGGCAGAGACTCTGCTCCCTGCATGGCCAGAGAACATTCCAGCACCCCAGGACAGCAAAGAAAATGCATCCAGATGGGAACAACCAAGCAAAACAAAACCATCCTAAACCCACAAAGCAGCACTTCTTGCTGCAGGAAAGACAAATCAGCCTGAGCAGTCTGTCTGTCTGTCCCCACAGATAATCATTTATCTTCCCTTCATATCAGTAATTAGGATTTAATCTTCCCTTCTTCATTTTAAACACATTCACAGAACTTCCCATGGTGACGTTTATGGCGTGAGGATCTGCTCCCAGCTGGGCTGGACACCCAAAACCTGCAGGGCTGGTCACCTGGGGAGCCCAGGGAGCACAAAACCCCTCCAGGGGCTCCCCAAACCCTCCAGGGGCTCCCCAAACCCCTGGCCCTGCACCCACAGCTGTCCTGCAGCGCTCTGAACTGGGAACATCCCAGGCCCTGCTTGATCCTGAGTCTAACCAAAAGCTTTCCTGCATTAGGGGAGCCTTGGGGGAGATCCCTCTGACCAAGCCCAGCCAAAAAATCCTCCACCACCACCCCCAAGGGTGATGGATCCTCCCCAGCCCTGTGGAGCTGCAGCCCCTCCTTCACCCCAGGCAGGTGAGGGGACTCTGGTGACCCTGCTCCCTGCCAGGTATCTCCAATTTCCCTCTCACCCTCTCATTTCCCTGCTGCTCAGCTCCCCATCCTTCCCCTTCTGCCCCCAGAACTGCTGTTGTGTAAAATTTCACTCACTGACAGATGAAAACGCTACGGATTTCAGAAGGGGCACAGCTGGCTAAGAGTAAAAACAGCCACTAATGCAACTCTGCACAGTGCAGCAGCTAAAAAGATTTCTGTTTTCATTTTTTCAGTAGGCAAAATGCTGGTTTTCTGAGGAAAAAAAAAATCACACAAAACTGCTTGGTACCAGATTAGAGGATTTCTGTATCATCCTTCAAAGATTTATTTGACAGCTTCTAAAACTTCCACTAAACTTGGTTTCTTACATCATTTCTATACACAGGTTTTATTTGTTATCATTGTCTTGAGGCTTATAAAAAAATAAGCATTTAAAATGCCCAAAAGAGTAATTTTCCTTTAAAATTGTGCTACTGAACTTGACCCCCAACACAGAAGAGAGACTTTTGGTAATGAGGTTACCCCAAGCAGTATAAAAATATACATAAAAATAGACAAAAGCTCTATCCTCCAATCTGAAGGGCTGTTTGTGGGGTTTATTAGTTATATTTTTTTTTTGTACATCACTGAAATTTCATTAACTTCTGCTAAATATTTACAGAAAACCCCCCCACCCTCTGTCTGCCTCCTCTCACCGAGGCAGAGACCTGCAGCTTTTAGTTCATCCAGAGTTTTCTGTTGGCAAAAAATGGATCCCTGCACTGGGCCATGGCACACAGGTGATGCTGAGGGCACAGGGGACCTGCAGGGCCCTGGGTTGTGTCATGTCCCCATGGTTGTGACCTTCCAGGGCACAGCTGGGGACAAAACAAAACCTGTCCTAAGGTTAAACCCAGCCTGAAGCCCACAGCATCACCACAGGGCCCTGCTGCTCCTGCACACCCTGGCTTTCTGCTTTCCCTTTTGTCCTGGTGATAAAGTCAGAATGCCCAAACCTCTTGTACAACAGTCCTCAGGTATTTGGGTCTCTTTCTCCAGTCTACCCCAAGAAAATTTTAAATTAAAAAAAAAAAATTACATGACAGAAAAAAAAAGAAAATAATTACTCTGTACTCTTCTTCAACAACATGAAAAGGTTAAAACTAAGTGACACAATCCCCCCCCCCGAGACTATGTACATAAAAAGACATCAGATCTCTTAAAACATAAATATACAGTGTATAAATCCAGGTGCCACCTAAAGGCTGCGGCCGCAGAACTATTTCACAGACACAAAGCAAACCAGACTCTCCACGCCGAGGGCAGACACGGCGAGGGTTTGGGGCTGGGCAGGGGGGCAGAGCCCCGTGGCAGAGGCTCCTGGAGCCCACACATGCACCAGGGAAGGGGTGGTGGTGGTGCCCGGGGTGAAACACGACCCTACACACGCCACGGTCCTACAGGGTGGGGCTGAGAGGGCAGGAAATGGGATCAGACCCTGAGTCCCCAATTATTTCCAGGCACGTGCTCTGCTGGGGCTGCTCAGGGGCTCCTGCAGCCTCCTCCAGCTTTGCTCACCAAGGGAGGCACGTGGCACCTCCAGCGCAGCCCGTGCAACTCTGCACCCTGTGCTCGAAGAGCTACCATGACTTTCATGGAAATAATACAGCCTTGATCAGGGTAAAAGCCTAGTGGAGGTCTTTAGCCCAATCTTAGAGGTTTGCTTCTACAGCACGGACAGCTACGGCTCCGACACACACAAATAGGTTCTGTTAAAGTGACGATGCAGTGTCTGAATTATCCGAGTGTTATCCCTACTGCTGCTAGGGGAGGGCCAGTGGTCGGGGGTGTGACGGAGGTGGGACAGCTCCAGCTCCACCTGGAAATGCAGGGAGAAGCCAAAAGACACTGTGAGCTTTACTCGACAGCTGGTTTTATGGCATGCAAGGAAACTCCTACGACAACACTTGGTACAGAGCCCACGGCGTCTCTGGTCCCGCCGTGGTGCCTCGGAGGACGAGTAAAGCTACGAGTCTGCTCGGAGGGGAGGGGGTGTGTGAGTGTGTGCAGAGAGGGAGGGAGGGGCTGGGTGAGGAAACGTCCTTCTTCTGCTGAAGCCAAGCTCCTGGGCAAAGCTGCTTCCCTCTACCGCTGGCCGGCCTCGCGGATGCGGCAGGCCACGGCCGTGATCAGCGCGGCGCCCTTGCCGCTGCCGTCCTCCGACTGCAGGAAGGTCACTTCACACTTGGGGGACAGCTCCCTCACTGTGTCCTGCAGCACCGTGGAGAAGCTGCGGGGCAAGGAGAGGGAGAGGTCCTGAACTGACCGGCCACGGGGTGGAAGTGTCAGTCCCAACCCCTGAGCTGCTTTCATAGAGACTGGGAGAGCAACGCAGAGCCCGAGGGGAAGGATGGATGGATGATGGATGGATGGATGGATGGATGGATGGATGGATGGATGGATGGATGGATGGAGACAGAGTTGCCAGGGATGAAGCTTAGAAAGCCCAAGTCTCCACACTTCAGCCCAAGCACAACACAACCGTGCTGTGCCTTCACTCAGGACTAACCCCAGCCCCTTCTTGAGGTCCACCAAGCTCTGGGAGCACAAATGAGCCTCAACAGCCCTGACCAGCCCCACCTGGGGGGAGTTTTCAGTGCCTCCCTTTGCCCATGGGCTCTGAGCCCTGTTTAAGCTCAGCCCAGTGCCTTAGTCCCTGTCTGAAGCTCCAATGCCCAACAGCACCAGCCGGCCAGCTCTGGCATGGGCAAGTTTTTGTGTGGCCATGAACTTTCATGACCCAGCTCATTGCTGGTCAGAGCTGCCTCATCCCTGGAGCCCTGGCTGAACCTGGTCACCACGTCTGGGTCAGGTCAGTGGGACTGGAGGAGCCCCTGTCCTTAAGGGAGCAGCTGACTCCTGCTGGGCCTCAAGTTTGTGTCAGCGAGCTCCCGGCAGCCCTCAATCCCCCAAACCACCCCAAATCCTCCCCCGTCACCCCCTGAACCTTCCCCCCGAGCCCCTCACCCTCCCAAGGAGCCCAACCAGAGGCACTCACTGAGGGTGCAGCTTGTAGAGCGTGCCGTCCACGCCGACGGTGATCTTGAGGAAGTCCAGGCCGCGGTTCTCGCGGATCTTGTCCACCACGGCGGCCATGCCGGCGCCGCAGAGCTGGGCCGCGCGCCGCGCCACCACCGCGCACACCTCCTTGACGATGATGCTGTCGTCGCACGTGGACTCCAGGCCCAGGTGCTGCAGGATGGAGCGCACCTGCAGCAGGGCCAGGCAGTCGCTGCGGGGACACGGCGGGGACAGCGTGAGGGACGTGAGGCCTCCTCTTCCTCATCTACTGCCCAGGCAGTCGTGGCTCGTGACAGTGCCTGGGGTGGCCCTACAGCCCCCCTCAGCCTCAGCTTTCAGACCTGGACGTGGCCTGGTGTCACATTCTAACCAGGGAGGCTTTTTCAGGACAAAGCCAGCGGAGTGTGACACCCCTGCAACCCACCCCACCCGCTCCGTGCCCAGGGCAGGGGATAAAGAGCCATCTGTGCTGCCAGCCTCCTTGTCTGTGCCACAACCACGTGGGCTCTGCTGATTTATCCCTGTGGCACCATCCTGGCTCCACACCAAGCACGTGGAGCTTCTCCCACCAGCCCTGGGGGCACGTCCCCCAAATTCCACCCCTGCTCTGACCGGCAGCTGGTGCTCACTTCCTGCTGGAGCTCACCTCTCTATCTGGGACAGGAACTTGGTCTCAAAGATCCCTCTGGTCTTCAGCCTCTCCGAGATCCGTCCCCGGAAGAGCAGCCCTTTCTTGGTGAAGTCCATCAGGATGTTGCGGACGATCTCCCCCAGGTACATCCCACTGATCATCTTCTCAAATCTGGGCAGGAGAGGACGAGGCCAGACATCAGCACAGGAAGGGACACTGGGGCTGGGTGGGGATTCCAGCTCTGCCAGCTGCCCTGGGTACAAGCCCAGCAGCACGGCCCCCACCCACGGGCAGGGGACAAGGGACAGGTCACTGTCCTGCCCATCATCCCCTGGATGCACCAAGGGGCTGGTGGGGCTCCTGCACCCTCAGCCCCACTGGGGTCCCTTCCAGCCCCCCAAAGCCAGCACCCACCTCTGCTTGCCAGGGTTGAGGGACAGCTCATCCACTGCCACGTCGAACTCCGTCCGGATGTCATCCAGGCAGCCGCTGTCCCCGAAGGCCCCCCACTCCATGTTGACACACATCCTGCCCTCGTCCCCCTCCACCAGCTCCACGTTCCTCATCTCCTCCATGTAGCAGGCGTTGCTGCCCGTGCCTGTGGGGAGCAGGGGGATCAGAGGGACAGCTGGGACACCTCCTGTGCCCCCCAGGGCAGGGCAGGGGTGGCAGCACGGAGCAGGAGCTCCACGAGGAGCGTTCGGTTCTCAGCCCCACTGGGGTCCCTTCCAGCCCCCCAAAGCCAGCACCCACCTCTGCTTGCCAGGGTTGAGGGACAGCTCATCCACCGCCACGTCGAACTCCGTCCGGATGTCATCCAGGCAGCCGCTGTCCCCGAAGGCCCCCCACTCCATGTTGACACACATCCTGCCCTCGTCCCCCTCCACCAGCTCCACGTTCCTCATCTCCTCCATGTAGCAGGCGTTGCTGCCCGTGCCTGTGGGGAGCAGGGGGATCAGAGGGACAGCTGGGACACCTCCTGTGCCCCCCAGGGCAGGGCAGGGGTGGCAGCATGGAGCAGGAGCTCCACAGGGAGCTCCACACTCACCAACAATCAGCCCAACTTCACAGTAGGGATCCTCATAGCCACAGGTCATCATGGTGCCAACGGTGTCATTGACCACTGCCACCACGTCCAGGTCGAATTCCTGCAGAGGGATTGCAAGAGTTATTCCTGGAGGGCTTGGGATTCCTGCTGAGTCTGCTCCCACGGCTGGGGAAGGAGCTGGCTGGCTGGTGAGTGTGGCAGGCAGAGTCACAGAATCATGGAATGGTCTGGAAAGGTCCTTAAAGCCCATCCCATTCTCCCTCTGCCATGGGCAGGGACACCTTCACTGTCCCAGGTGCTCCAAGCCCTGTCCAGCCTGGCTTTGGGCACTGCCAGGGATCCAGGGGCACCCACAGCTGCTCTGGGCTCACACCCTCTGCCCTCAATGCCCTCAAAGGGGGGAACTTCTTCCTAAAATCCAACCTAAATCTCTCCTCTATTAGTTTAAAACTGTTCTCCTTTGTCCTCCACGACCATCCACCTCCACAGACACAGAGCTACCCCAGGTGGGGGCTTCCCCCAGCCCCACCTGCCTGCAGGTAGAGCTCAGACACCTGCAGTGGGCCAGCCCTGCCAGGAGCAGCCCCTGGGCAGCAGCTCGGGGTGGTCTGCGCTGAGGAAACGAGCTGGTGTCTCCTGAGCTCAGGACCAGACAAGTCTGCTCCAGCCCTGGCCAGGAGCCAGCCCGTAGCTCCAGGGTCTGAAAATCCAACCTCAAGTGATGAGTAAGGGCGGCTGTGAAAATTCCGACACTCATTACGCTGAGCTCAGCCCACTAATTTGTTTTACAGGCCAATTAATGATGCTGAAGAGAGCCAGGATGTGGGAGCAGCCGCTGGCTTCTCCCAGCCCTGTGGCTGCTCACCTCTCTCCTGTGAATGGCCTCCTTCAGCAGCCCCACCACGTCCTCTCCCTCGCAGCCCGTCGCCTTGAAACCTTTTGTCCACTTCAGGAGAATTCCCTGTGGTGGGAAAAAGGCCCCAGTGAGTCCCCTGAGCAGCAGGTGGGAGGCAGAGCTGGGGTGCTGCCAGGAGGGTGGGGTTACCTCGTCCAGGTTGTTCTGCTGGCAGGGGAAGGAGAAGGTGAATCCCAGCGGGAGCGACACGCCCTTCATCCCCATGTACTCCAGGAAGTCAGAGATGCAGTGGACAATGTGGTCAAAGAGCTGCACAAGCAAAGCCAAAGGGAAGAGTTACCACCACAGCCAGAGCCCAGCTGGAAGCCAAATTTCTGGGGGTTCTGACCCATACCCAGGGCTGCTGGAATGTTTAAATCACTACCAGGACTTTGAATGGAGCAGGACATGGCTCAGCTGCACTGTGGGAGGTGAGCAACCCCAAAAAGCTCAGTTCACTCTCTTCCCCACCCACAGCATGGCCAAAGCCCTGTATTATCTCCACCTCACAGGTCCCTGGAGGGGTGGGAGCCAGCAGGGAGGTGACACAGGAATCCAGTCCCTCTGCAAGGGATCCCCAGGGCCCTCCAGCCCAGTCTGCTGGAGGTACTCCCAGTCCTCAGGCACTACCTGGAGTGCTTTGCAAAACTCTTTCCAAACGTGCCTCACTGCTTGTGTTGTGGTTTCCCTATCTGGGAAATGGGGATGATGCTTATCTGCCCTTGTGGAGTGTGTGGGATCAGGGGAGGCTCGCTCATGCCTGGGAATAACACCTAAAAACCAGACTCCAGCTTCCCAAACTCCAGAGCCCTGGGCACAACTCGCTGCTCTGAGGGCAGGGCAGCACCCCTGCTTTCCCTCCCTGGAAAGGCCAAACCAGCTCTGTGGTCAGCCCTGCTGCAGCCAGCAGGGAAGAGGCCCCTTTCCCCTTTCCCTGTGCCCAGGCTGACCTCCTCTCCCGTGCCCTGCATGATCTCCACGGGGATGGAGTAGATCTTGTTGTGCATCTCCACGCCGCGCCGCATGCCGTTCCTGACGCGCACCAGCAGCACGCGGAAGTTGGTTCCTCCCAGGTCCAGGGCGAGGAAATCTCCCTTTTCTGCAAGCCAAGAGAGAGGATCATCAGCAGAGATCCCAGCACGGGGCATGCAGGGTGGGGCACGGAGCAGAAGTGGACCTGCCCTCCTCCAGGGAGAGGGATGGGAATGGAGACATGGCTGGGGATAGGCAGGAACAGGGCTGCAGGGAGGAAGAGGATGGAGAGGTTTCGAATCATAAACTTGAATTGGAAGAGACCCACAAGGATCACTGAAGTCCAGCTCCTGGCCCTGCACAAGCTTCAAGCCAAGGTCAGGCACTGGCCCAAGCCACAGGAAGAACCAGGAGCACAGCCCAGGGTGAGGATGAGGGTGGGGAGGATCCTGTGGCAGGATCTGTGGCCACGCAGAGCCAGGCTTTGTGCTAAGTCAGGTGCAGAACGTCCCTGAGGCTCAGTGCTCTGCCCAGTACCAAACTGGAGGCTTGTGCCACAACCACCACAGAGGAACCAGCCACAGCAAGGGATCCAGCCCCTGCCAAGGATGCAGGACATCCACGGGCTCACACACAGAGGTTTTACACAGCACACATCACCTGTTCCATCAGGAGTGGAGCACACGTAGGTGGGCAGCATTTTCACCGTCGCCTCCTCGTGCGTCTCCTTGCCCAGCCCCTTCTCCATCTCTATCCTCATCCTTTCCTTCACCTCCAGCAGCTGCTCGTGGCTCAGCTTGAGGGGCTCCAGGATCTTCTGGCGGGCCTGGTGCTGTGCAGCCAGCCTGTAGGCCACGGCTGTCACCATGGCCGCCCCTTTGCCGCTGCCGTCCTCGGAGCGGATGAAGCGGATCTCGCAGTCTGGCAGCAGCTTCCGCACGGTCTTGTGGAGGCGTCGGGCAAAGCTGGGGAGGAGGAGGAGAGGGGACCTCAGCGTGACCCTCTGGGGACCCCCTGGGATCCAAACAAGGGACCCCAGGGGATATTTGGAGGTGCTTCTCTTGTGCCAAGCTGTGCCCACTGCTGGTGGCAGCAGATCCCTCTCTGGTGCTGTCCCCAGCACCCCCAGATCCCTGTCCCCAGCATCCCCAGGCCCCTGTCCCTGTCTCCAGCATGCCCAGATCCCTTTCCTTGTCCCCACCACCCTCAGATCCCTGTCCCTGTCCCCATCCCTACTCCCAGCCCCTCTATCCCCATCCCTATCCCTACCACCTCCAGACTCCTATCCCTGTCCCCAGCACTCCCAGATCTCTGTCCCTATCCCCAGACCCCTGTCCCCAGCACTCCCTGTCTCTGTGCCTAGATCCCTGTCCCCATCTCCAGCCCCCTTTGTCCCTGTCCCCAGCCCTCCTGTCCCTGTCCCCATCCTGCACTCACTGTGGGTGTTTCTTGTACACGAGCGCAGCCTGTCACTGCCCTTGCTGTCCCTCTCCCTGTCCCCATCCCTGTCCCCATCCCATGCCATCCCCACTCACTGGGGGTGTTTCTTGTACACGGAGCCTGTCCCTGCCCTTGCTGTCCCTCTCCCTGTCCCCATCCCTGTCCCCACCCCATGCCATCCCCACTCACAGGGGGTGTTTCTTGTACACGGAGCCTGTCCCTGCCCTTGCTGTCCCTCTCCCTGTCCCCATCCCTGTCCCCACCCCATGCCATCCCCACTCACAGGGGGTGTTTCTTGTACACGGAGCCTGTCCCTGCCCTTGCTGTCCCTGTCCCCAGATCCCCATCCCTGTCCCCAGATCCCCACCCTCACTCACTGTGGGTGTTTCTTGTACATGGAGCCGTCCACGCCCACGGTGGAGCGCAGCCTGTCACTGCCCTTGCTGTCCCTGTCCCCAGATCCCCATCCCTGTCCCCATCCCTGTCCCCAAATCCCCATCCCTGTCCCCATCCTTGTCCCCATCCCTCACTCACTGGGGGTGTTTCTTGTACACAGAGCCGTCCACGCCCACGGTGGAGCGCAGCCTGTCGCCGCCCTTGTTGTCGCGGATGCGGCGCAGCACGGCGGCCAGCGTGGCCCCGCAGAGCGCGGCCGAGCGCGTCGACACGATCTGGCAGATGCGCAGCGTGGCCACGCAGTCCTCGTGCGACGGCTCCAGCCCCAGCTTGCTCAGGATCTCGTGGGCTTTCTGCAGCCCCTCCTTCTCCCTGCAAGGACAAAAAGGGGTTCGTGCCTCGGAGGTTTTTTTTGCTGGGTTCTGACGCGGGTTGGCTCGGTGCTGGTCCATCCAGGGGCTGGGAGCCAGGAATCCCCCGGATCTTACTCACTTCTCAATGGCAGAGACAAATCTGGTCTCAAAGTGGCCCGTGGTGAGCAGATCTGGCGTGAGCCTTCCCCCAAACAGCAGCCCGTCCTTGGCCATCTTCACCAGGATGAGCCTGACCAGCTCCCCCATGTACATCCCGCTGATCATCTTCTCAAACCTGCCCGTGGGGAGGCACGGGGTGCAATCAGGGAATGGTTTGGGCTGGAGAAGCCCTCCAAGGTGGTCAAGTCCAGCCATTCCCCAGCTCTGCCAAGGCCACCACTAACCCCAAGTGCCACATCCACAGAGCTGTTAAATCCCTCTGAGATGGTGACACCACCACTGCCCTGGGCAGCCTGTGCCACATCTGACCACCCTTTCAGAGCAGAAATCTTCCCAAATATCCAGCCTAAACTCTCTCTCCATAAGCTCCCCCCGAGCCTCCTTTTCTCCAGGCTAAACAATGTGTGTGTTTGGCTGTGTGTGCCACAAGGTGGCCACAGGCTGACCTGAAAACCCCTTGGCAGCTCCCACCCCAAACAGAATCTGGGTAATCTCTTCCCAGAGCAGTTTATCCCATCACTGAGAATATGGGGCCATGTGGACATGACCATCATCCTGCAAAGAGAACTCATGGCCACCTGAAGAGGCTCAGTCCATTTGCAGGGACCCCCAGGTCACCCCCACACCACAGCAGCCCTGTGGGGAATGGGAGATCTGTAGGACTGGGATGTGGATGTTAGGTGAGGGTGTCTGCCTGGGCTGGTGGGGACTCTGCTGGCCAGGAAGGGGACAGGAATCATTCACAGGAGGGGGTCACAAGGGCAGCAGGTGGGGCAGACAGCCCTGGTTTGGGACACAAACCCAGTTTTGGGACATAACCCTGCTTTAGGACAGCCCTGTTTTAGAACAGCCCCAGGTTTGGGACACAGCCCCAGGTTTGGGACACAGCCCCTCTCTGCACCGGTGGCAGAGGACACGGTGACCCAGTTAGCTGGGCTGACCTCCCCAGTCCCAGCAACTGTGGGAGGATGGACAATGCAGAGCAAACCACGAGCCCGAGCCAAGAATCTGCTCACAATTGTTTGCCAGGGTTGAGCGAGCCCATGTCGATCTCGCGGTCGAACTCGGTGCGGATGTCGTTGAGCACCCCATCGTCCCCAAAGGCTCCCCACTCCATGTTGATGCACATCCTGCCCTCATCCCCTTCCACCAGGCTGATGTGCCTCATCTCCTCCATGTAGCAGGCGTTGGTGCCAGTTCCTGGGCCGAGCAGGGGCACAGGGTGAGCGAGGACACTGCCTTTCCTCATTCCCATTGTTCCCCATTCCCACTGTTCCCCATTCCCCTTATTCCTCATTCCCATTGTTCCCCATTCCCATTTTCCCTCATTCCCACTATTCCTTATTCCCATTATTCCCACTTTCCCTTTGGCCACAGCCCAACACACCAAAGAAAGCAAAGAACCAAGCAAACTGGACAATGCTGCTTTTCCAGCCCTGGTATCCCCCTCTCTTTTTCCCCCCAAACACCCCAAGGCCTGCAAGAAGCAGGATCTCTCTCTGGCTCTGCTGGAACCCAGGAAAGAACCAAGCAAACTGGACAATGCTGCTTTTCCAGCCCTGGTATCCCCCTCTCTTTTTCCCCACAAACACCCCCAAGGCCTGCAAGAAGCAGGATCTCCCTCTGGCTCTGCTGGAACCCAGGGAACAGCCCCAGGACATCTTCCCCCTGGCTGCAGCTCACCAACAATGAGGCCAACTTCACAGTTGTGGTCATCGTAGCCACAGGTCATCATGGTGCCCACGGTGTCGTTCACCACGGCCACGATGTCAATGTCGAAGTCCTGACGTGGTGGAAACAAGACAGGCTGACCCCACAGAGACAAAACTGCCCAAAACAGCTCCACGGAGCCAAGGTGTCCTGGGCAGGAGCCGTGTGCCCCCAGCCCAGCCCCTTACCCCTCTCTTCTTGATGGACTTGCGCAGCAGGGACACCACGTCCCTCCCCTCCACGCTGCTGCACTTGAACCCCTTCGTCCACGTCACGAGGATGCTCTGCAGGGGAACAGCAAGAGGGAAACTCCAGGTGACACCTGGCTCCTGGCACGGGGGACATGTGGCCCTGCAGGGGGGGAGCCCCCCGTTATCAGCTCACCAGCTGCGCCATCAGCCGCAGCTTCCGTGTCAGATAAAGTTTATGGCCACCAAACAAAACACGTGAGGTGCTCACTGCTCTCACTGCTGCCCCGGCAGCAGGAACATGCTTCCCATGACCAGCTTTGATTGAGCCCTGCAGCAAAACTTGTTCACAAGCCCAAGGAATGCTCCTTGACCCATCCCTGAGGGGCGGATGGCTGGCTGTGCCTATGGAATGCTCCTTGACCCAGCCCTGTGGGGTGAGAGGCTCATGGTGCCTTTGGAATGCTCCTTGACCCAGCCCTGTGGGGTGGGGGGCTCGTTGTACCTATGGAATGATCCCTGAATCATCCCTGACCTATGGAATGATCCCTGAGCCATCCTGGGGGGGTTGGGGGGCTCCTTGTACCTATGGAATGATCCCTGAGCCATTCCTGAGGGGTGGGGGGCTCACAGCCCCCTGTGGCCAGAGGCACCTGGCCAGGGGCTGAGCTGAGCCCTGGGGGAAGGAAAATAACTCAATTCCAAGATTTGGAATCTCCAACCCTCTGGGCACAGCCCTTAGGGAGGCAGACACCCGCCCTGCCTTAGAGCTGGGGAAACTGAGGCACTGAGCGACCCGACCCCGGGGAGGACAGGGGGCACAGACCCTCCCTGCTGCCTCTGCTGCTTTCTGCCGTTCTCCCCAGCCCCGAGTCTGCAGGAGGAGAGTGTTAATCCCTCCCGGAGCCGCTGGGGCTCCACTGAGCACCGGGAGGACGTGCAGGGGCTGCTGCGCTCCATGGAGCCGGCCCCTGTCCTTCCCGGGGGGAGAAGAGAGCCAGCATCACCCCCTGCAGCCCCTGCCCTTCCCGGGGGGGAAAAGAGAGCCAGCATCACCCCCTGCAGCCCCTGCCCTTCCCAGGGGGAGAAGAGAGTCAGCATCACCCCCAACCCCAGCCCCTGCCCTTCCCGGGGGGAGAAGAGAGCCAGCATCACCCCCAGCCCCAGCCCCTGTCCTTCCTGGGAGGGAGAAGAGAGCCAGCATCACCCCCAGCCCCAGCCCCTGCCCTTCCTGGGGTGGGGGGAAACAGCATCACCCCCAGCCCCTGCAGATCCTGGGGGGACAAAGGGACAAGGAGAGCCAGCATCACCCCCTGCCCATCCTGGGGGGACAAAGGGACAAGGACAGCCAGCATCACGCCCTGCCCCTGCCCATCCTGGGGGGGCAATAAGGGCAGGCAGAGCCAGCACCACCCCTCAGCAGCAGGGCCCACGTGCCTCGCTGGGCTCGGGGATGTTTGGTCTCCCAGCAAGGTCACAGCTCAGAGCTGACAGTGACAGTGACAGCCATCGGTGCCCGGGGCTGGCAGAGGGGACACGACAGGACAGGGGGGTGGGATGCTCAGGGAGGTGGGATGCCCAGGGTGGGATGCCCAGGCTGGGATGCTCAGGGCTGGGATGCTCAGGGCTGGGATGCTCAGCACGTCTGGCTGCAGCTCTGGTGAAAAAGCTGCTCTCCATGGAGGCATCCCATGGAAACATCACCCCCAGAGCCCTGCAGCTGCCAGCACACAGCCCTGGCTCTGCCAGCACCACGCCCTGCTGGCACACACAGTGACCCTGGGACACAGGACCTTGCCAAAGGTCACACAGAGGTGGTGGCTGAAAACTCTAAAGATAAATTAGGGGAAATGCAGAAACCCAGGATTGTCCAGAGCAGCTGTGGATGCCCCTGGATCCCTGGAAGTGTCCAAGGCCAGGCTGGACAGGGCTTGGAGCAGCCTGGGACACTGGAATGTGACCCTGCTCTGAACTCTGAGTGGTCCTTAAGGTCCCTTTCCCCTATGAAAACCTGGCCAGATGTGTTTAGAACAGGAGCTCCAACACCACTTATTGTCATCAAACAGCTTTTAAAAAGGCAATCTGGCACATAACCTTAGCAGACATTGATTTTCTTTTAAACCGGGGGTCAATAGTGTGTTTGGAGGAGATGACCAGCAACAGGGTTATTGGAAGTGATGCCAAGCTCTGCATTCCCTGAAGGAATGTTCCATCCTCTGTGTCCCTGCAGCCCCTGAGCCATCACACCAACAACAAATATTCACAAAATTAAAAGGACAGTGCTGTTCCTGAGCTGCTGTCACCCAGAAATGGCTTTACAGGGGTGGGAGATGTGGCACTTCAGGAAAGGTCAGGTGACCCAAAATTAACGAGCCTAATTAACAGCCTGAGCTTAAATTGGTGTGGAACCCACAGGGAGAGCCCAGCCCCTCACCCACCTCATCCAGCTTGGTCTGGTGGCACGGGAAGGAGAAGGTGAAGCCAAGGGGGAGCTTCTTGTCCTTGATTTGCAGTTTGTCCAGGAAATTGGCCAAACACTCGGCAATGTGGTCGAAAAGCTGGGAAAAAAAAAGGTAAAGAGTGAAAAATAAAAACAACCCCTCCTCCGAGGGCTTCACAGCAGGCTCCCCCAGGCCAGGGCACATCAGGGGTCCCCCAGGAGCCCACCTGCACCCCGCTGCCCCTCATGAGCTCCTCGGGGATGGCGTAGATCTGGTTCTCCATCTCCACCTTGCGCAGCCCGTTGTCCGACACCTTCACCCGCAGCACTCGGAAGTTGGTGCCACCCAGGTCCAGGGCCAGGAAATCCCCGTCCTCTGTGGGGTCAGGACAGGGGCAACCCGTTAATTCCTCTGGCCACAGAGCCCTGAGGTCACCCCCTGCCCCCAGGTACCAGGATAAGGTCAGATTTTTTATTGTATTTCATCATTTTGTCCTTTTTTTCGGTATTTTATTGGAGCAGTCGCTGCATTCTCTGCCACCACAGAGGATCAATATTTTGCCCATCATCGAGGCAGATCCTCATGCTTTGGGGCACAAATCCCACCAGCCCCCCTAGAAAAGCCCAAGCCAACAGGAAGATGAGCTCCAGCCTCAGGCTCCACCAGGAAGAAGGCAGCAGAGCCATCCCTGACCCTGCTGGTGCTCTTGGAAGCTCCCAAACTTCCATCCAAGGGGTTCAACCCTGGTGGCAGCTGTGGGAGCACCTCAGCCTGGCTCAGGGTTTGCTGTACTAAAAACCCCTGGTGTCCAGGCTCAGCCCAGCCCAGCTCCAGGAATGCCACACACTCCTGGCATGTGGCAGCAGGAAGCCAGGGAGGGAGAAGATCCCAAAGAGCTGCTGTGGAATCTTTTCTCCTTTTTTTTTTTTTTTTTTTGCCAGGGCTGGGATTAAACGTGCAAGACAGAATTTCTTGCTGGGACTCAGATGTTTATTGGCTCTTATCTTTGTTGTACTCTCACAAACCCTGAGCTCTGCAGCACTTCACTCCAACAAACTAAAACTGGAGCCCTGCCTCTCTCTTTCTCTGTCTCCAAGGCCTTTTAAGGATAAGCTGTCCAATTAAGAAATGACACCAAAATTATCTTTACTTTTAACCCAGTAACCAACCACCCATGGCCTGCAATGGGGACTTTTTTATCCAATTACACAAAACCACCCAAACCCGTGGAGGAGAAGGAGAAGGGGGAAGAAGAAGGGGAGGAAGAAGGGGAAAGGGGAGGAAGAAGGGGAGGAAGAAGGGGAGGAAGAAGGGGAGGAAGAAGGGGAGGAAAAGGGGGAGGAAAAGGGGGAGGAAAAGGGGGAGGAAAAGGGGGAGGAAAAAGGGGGAGGAAAAAGGGGAGCAAAAAGGGGAGGAAAAAGGGGAGGAAAAAGAAGGACCAGCCTCCATCCTAAAACCTCCATCTTGCTTTATAGATTTTCCTATATTCTAAACCCTTAAACTCCAAGTTTCCCACCCTGTGCTATCACACACTTCTACCCAAACTCCACACCCACAATCCCAGTGCTATCACTCAATTTTGGAAGTTTTCCCCACGGCCTCAGGACAGTGCAGAGTTCTCCTGGGGGTCAGTGCCTGGCAGCACAGAAAATCTCAAATTCTCAGTGCCCAGGGCTCCAAGCAGGCTCCTCCAAGGGAGCCCAGGGCTGTGCCTGGCCCGGAGCATCCCCTCCCGGCTGTTTTGGGGCAGGGAAAAGCGCCCAGCTGGCTGTTTTGGGGCGGAGGGGCCGGGGAAAGCCTCTCTCAGCACTGTGAATGTGCTGCGCTGGCTGCCGGGCCGCTTTGTGCCGCACAAAGGGAACAAAACCCGCGGGACATTAGTATGGGACATTAGTATGGGACATTAGTATGGGACATTAGTATGGGACATTAGTATGGGACATTAGTATGCACCCGCCTGCCACCGCCAGGGACCTCGGCTGGAGGGGCAGAGCCGGCTCCTGCCCCAAAGCCAGCCCCAAATCCTGCCCCAGCCCCAAATCCTGCCCCAAAGCCAGCCCAGAACTGGCTCCTGCCCCAAAGCCAGCCCCAACCCCAAATCCAGCCCCGGCTCCTGCCCCAAATCCAGCCCCAAAATCCAGCCCCGGCTCCTCCCCCAAATCCAGCCCCAAAATCTAGCCCCAAAATCCAGCCCCAGCTCCTGCCCCAAAGCCAGCCCCAAATCCAGCCCCAGCCCCAAATCCTGCCCCAAAGCCAGCCCAGAACCGGCTCCTGCCCCAAATCCAGCCCAGAACAGGCTCCTGCCCCCAAATCAAGACCCAAAATCCAGCCCTGGCTCCTGCCCCAAATCCAGCCCAACTCCAGTTCCATCCCCAGCTCCAGCTCCTGTCCCAAATCCCAAATCCAGCCCAGCCCCAGCTCAATCCCCAGCCCCAAATCCTGCCCCAGCTCCAGATCCAGCTGGGCACGGAGAGGGCGGAGGGGCACTCGGGGGGTCAGTGCAGCCCCTTGGGGGCAGAACAGAACCAAAAGAGGGGCCAGAGCATCACATCCCTGAAGAGCACAGAGCAATCACACCACCAAGGGGCACAGGGCCATCCCCAGGGGGCACAGAGCCATCCCCAGGGGGCACAGGGCCATCCCTGAGGGGCTCAGGGCCATCCCCAGGGGGCACAGGGCCATCCCTGAGGGGCACAGGGCCATCCCCAAAGGGGCACAGAGCCATCCCACCACCAAGGGGCACAGGGCCAGCGGGGCACTGAGCTCCTGCACGGCTCCACTCAGTCCCTGGATATCCCTTTCTCCTCCTCCCCTTGACCCCTCGCAGCTGTGAGCCTCAAACCAGTTTGGCAGCTCCTCTGGCAGCCTGTCTGCCAGCCACGGGGCACGGTGGCCCTTCCACAAACACGCCAGGAGAAGCTTGGAGGAGCCCAGCACGGGCACCACCCTCAGCCACAGCAGGGCAGAGCTGGCCCATCCATGGTGTCCTGCCCCTCACGGGTCACAGCTCCCTGGCCATTGGCACTGGGAGCAAGGAGAGCACCTCAGGGGGGCAATAAATCCTCCAGGGCATGGAGAACATCTCAGGGGGGTGATAAATCCCCCAGGGCATGGAGAACCCCTCGGGGGGGTGATAAATCCTCCAGGGTACAGAGAACCCCTCAGGGGGGCAATAAATCCCCCAGGGCATGGAGAACATCTCAGGGGGGTGATAAATCCTCCAGGGTACAGAGAACCCCTCAGGGGGGTGATAAATCCTCCAGGGATAAGGGCACTGCAGCCAAGAGGGGCACAGGGTCTCAGCTCCTTGGAGGTGACCCAGGAGGATCCCAAAAAAAAGAATTCTTGGGAATTCTGGGTGGATCAGCTTTGCAGGAGGAACAGGGCAGCCCTGGGGAAATTCCCAGCCATGCTGGGAGCACGTGGTGGGTGCCAGGGCTGGGCACTGCCCCCCAGTTTGGGCTCCCAGGTCCTGTGATAAGGTATCAGCACTGGTGCTGAGCCCTCAAGCCAAACAGGCAGGGCAAACACAGAGCCCTGGCTCCAGGGGCTGTTTGCTCTGGGCAGAGGGTGAGAGCTGAGAGCCTGATGTGCTGCTGGGTGTGTGGGATCATGTCCCTGCTCACCCCAGGGATCCCCTCTCAAGGCTTCCAACCCACTTGCAGTGTGCAATTCCACTGCCTGGGAATCCTCTGGCAAGCTGGATTGATGAAAAATAAGAGGAAAAGCTGGGAGGGCCAGACTCCAGGGAGATGCAGGAGAAGGTGGAGCTGCAGACCCTGGCATTTCCCACTGCAGCTTCTCCCACCTTCCAGATAATTCATGGGATCAGGGAATGGGAAGGGACCCCAAGGACCTCCCAGTTCCTTCCCCTGCCCTTCCACGGGACCTGTGGCCCACCCAGCCTGGCCTTGAGCCCTTCCAGGCAGACACAACTTCCTTGGGAAGCCTTGCAGGGAACCCCCATGTTTTCTGGGCATGAAAACAGCCTTTTCTCCCAAGCCTTTCAAGGCTCTGTGGCACACGAGCCGAGGCAGGAAAAGAGCTGAGCCCCCCAGCCAAGGGAAAGGTGCTGCCAAGAGCCATCCTTTGGATTTCCAGGGATTTGACCCCCAAATCCTGCAGCATCCTCCTGAAAGCTGCACAAGATCCTTAAATCAATATCACTGTGGAAACCTGGGCACCCAGAAGAGCCTGGAAACAGCAGCAGTGGAGCAGGGAGGAGGATGATGGTTGCACTGAGCAGGGAAACTCCTCAAAAGAGTCACTGGGGCTCCAAGGAGAAGCTGATTTGGGATCTGCTTCCCCATCCCCTCGCTGCCAGCACTGCATGGTGCTGTTCCAGTGGGTGCCAGAGCCAAGCAAAGTTGATTTTAGAAGAGCCTCTGCTTTCAGAGCAGAATTCCCCCTCTTCATCACCCCCCACTGGAATGGCAAAGCCCCTGAGAGCCAGGGCTGGGCTTTGGCTCAAGCTGCAGGTATGACCTTGTATTTGCATAAGCACCTCTCATCCCCCAGAGCTGGGCATTAAACGGGGTCTAATCCCACCCAGAGACACAGGAGCAGGGCAGGGAGGACACAGATCCCACAGCTGCATGGTTGGCAGCCCTGTGGCACCAGCCCCAGCCCAGAGCAGGGCTGGAGCACAGGAACAACCCATCCTTGGACTGGGAGCAGCTGGCACAGGTGCCCAGCCCAGGTCAGACTTTGCCCAGGAGCTTTGAAAAGAGGGAAGAAGGAAGGACACAGCCCTGGGCAGTGAGATCCTCCCCAGCTGCTGCCACACCATCCGTGCCAGGGGTCTGGCACCAAGCCCCCAACCCTGACTTGCCCCCTCCCCAAAACCCTGATGGTTCAGGGAATCCCAGCTCTCATTTCCCTGGCATTTGCTCTAAACTCCCTCATTTTCCAGCCCCCCCTGGGCAGCTGCAGTGCCGTGACTGCCCCAGCATCCCTCTCATGTGACATTTTCCATGCTGCTGCTCCCCTTTCCCCCCCTCCCCCGGGGTGAGAAATGCCAGCTGGGACACTGGAGAGGCTGGAAACAGGGAAGGGAGCCAAGGATCTGTCTTGTAAGGGCATGGGGAGGGATTGCTCCCTCTCCCAGAGGCGGGCCAGGGTGCTGGAAGTGCTGACACACGCTCCACCTGCACCCAGCACCTTTGGCTGCAGCAGTTCCCATGCCCAGGGGCGGCTCCTGGCCGGCCCTGTAATTAAAAATATCCTCCAACATTTAAATAGATGGGAATCTGGATCCCAGGGCAGGCAGCCAGGTCCAGATTTTGGGCGTAGGTGCAGCTGGGGGGGCCAGGATCAGGGGGTGCTTCGAGGATTAGAGGGGCTCAGGGGGAAGGTGGAGACACTTTCAGCAGGGGAATGGTTCCAAACTGGAAGTTTAAAATACAAATATGAATTGTTGGGGAAATCCCTTCATGGAGAGGGCAGTCCAGGCCTGGCACAGCTGCCAGGAGTGCCCGTCCCTGGGGGGATTCAGCAGCTGTGTGGATGTGGCACCTGGGGACACGGGGCAGGGATGGATTGGTTGGGTTTGACCAACTTAGGGGCTTTTCCAGCCCAAACCATTGCATGGCTGAGTGATTCCATGGCTGTGTCACTTGTGTGCCTGCCCCCAGGGAGCAGCCAGCCAGCAGCCACGAGGGGTTTGGGCTCTGTCCCTCTCTGTGCCCCTCTCCTGCTGGTGACCAGCAGCCCCTGCCACTAAGGTTTTGCACAGATCCCTGTGCAGGAGCTGGCACCAGGGCAAGCCCAGCCCTGAGTAACTGCACCCAGCACAAGCTGGGGCCCTCCAAGGCTGCTGTGGGTCTGCAGCAGCCAGCACCAAACACTTGGGAGGGTCCTGGCCACACCTGAGGGCGAGGGGTGATGCTGCAGGGATGGAGTCGAGCTCCCTCCCAACCCACCAGGCTGGGAGAGGGAGCAGGAGAGGAGGCTGTGCCTGGCTGGAGCATGCCCTGGGCAGCTCGGGGAGAGGCAGAAAGGCCACATTGTGAGGGCCCAGCTCTGCCCAGTGGCACTCAGACAGCGCTGGCACCGCTGATGAGTGCAATCTGATGAGCAGGACCCGTGACTGTCTCTGTCCTGCCAGCAAGGGCACGCGAGGGCGGCTTCCCTCCCTCCTCCCTCCCTCCTTCCCTCCTCCCAGCAGGAACTGGGAGCCCCTCCAGCCCCAGCACGGAGCAGGGAGCCAGGCCTGTCCCCACACTCAGCGAAGGTGGCAGTGCCACCCCTGCCCCGGCAGCGCCAGCAGGACGGGTGTCCCCAGCCCCCAGGGTACCTGTGCCATCCGGGGTGGACCTGACGAAGGTGGGCAGCATCTTCACGGAGGCGGTGGGGTTGGTGTCTGCCCCCAGCCCCTTCTCCATCTCCTTCTCGAAGCGCTGGGACACCTCCAGCAGCGTCTCGTCGGAGAGCCGCATGTGGTACAGGTACTTGTCCACCTGCAAGGGGCACACAGAGCCCAGGGCTCAGGCAGAGGGCTGGGGACAGGGGCACAGCATGGCTCAGGACAGCGCCCAGCCCTTCCTGAGGCTGCTGGGTGGACACAAGGAGCTGGAGCAGGTTCTGACCCATGCCAAAGCGCAGGACAGGGCAGCTCGGCTGGAATCAGCGCCCAGCCCTTCCTGAGGCTGCTGGGTGGACACAAGGAGCTGGAGCAGGTTCTGACCCTCCCAGAGCGCAGGACGGGGCAGCTCGGCTGGAACTGCTCATGCCAGGAATCAGCCATGAGTCCTGCTCCTGCTGCTTTCCCCCAAAGCCACCCTGCATCCCCTCCCCAGGCTCTGCCAGCCTGGGAGTCACAGAATCACAAAATCACAGAATAATGAGGTTGGAACAGACCTCTAAGATCATCAAGTCCAACCTATGCCCTCACACCATAGCACCAAGTGCCATGTCCAGCCTTTTTTTAAACACACCCAGAAATGGTGATTCCACCACCTCCCTGGTGGTGGAATCTTCCCAGGGAAGATTCCTTCCCAATCCTCCCTGGGAAGAGCATTCCAGTCCTTTATTATTCTTTCGGTGAAAAATGTTTTTCCCCAACATCCAACCTATCCCTTCCCTGACTGTGTCCTCTGGTGCTGCCCCACTGCTCCTGGAGCTCCTTCCCTCTGAGCCACCTGCAGACACCCAAACAGGTTGCCACAGAAGCAGGAATCCCAGCTCAGGGGTGAGTCAGGAGGTTCTCCAGGTGCAAAGCCCTTCCCTCTCCACACACCTTGACCTTGACCCCCAGGGCCTCTTCCTGCACCGAGGGTGCTGGGCAGGAATCCACTGCCCTGTCATTTCTGCACTGCTGAGATCACCCCAGGAGCCCAGAGCTACTCAACAGCCTGGAGCAAACCACGCTGAAGTGACAGAAGTGGCAGCTGGAGTGACACAAGCGAGGCTGGAATGACACAAGCGCGTGCCACGGATGGAGAGGGAAGAAACCCAGCCCCTTATTCCTGGAAATTGCTGTACCCTGGTGTGGAGAACGCTCCTAAAAATGGCTTTAAAGCATCCTGTCCTGCCTGGGGAAGGCGTGGAAAGGCTCCTCCCCAGCCACCAGCAGCCTGGCCGGAGCAGGGAGCGGGAGAGGCGGACACTGCCCGCTCCCAGACCGTGCCCTGCTCCAATTAGCTCCACTCAGCATTAATTAAAGGGCAGCTGCAAGCCCTGAGAAGTCCAGGAGGAAAACTCCACCCCGTGTGCTCACCTGTCTGCAGGCACGTAACGCCGGGTCGCCGGAACCGGGCCCGGCTGCGCTTTATGGGGCTGAGCTGCAGGAAATGGGCATTTTGTGGGCGACTAATTGCACCAGGGCCAGGGTGACCTGGCCAGGGATGTGCCATCCCACCCTGGGCCGGACACAACAGCCCCGCTGCGGTTTTGCCCGCCTGTGTTTCAGGCTCAGGGTGCTCCAGCACATCCTTGTTTCTCCCCCACCTCGAGTTCCGTTGGAAGTTTGGGAGCTGAGATCCCCTCGGTGAGGTCAGGGATGGAGGAAAGGGCAGCCCAGCACCTTCCAGGAGTGATGCTGCATCCCCTGAGGAGCAGCATGCTCTGAGTAAAACCTTCTCCCTTCTCCTGGTGCTTCCAGCTCCTTCCCAAAATCAGGAGCTAAACACGAGGGAAAGGCCAAGGAGAAGGAAACCTGGAGATTTCCTGGCTCCAGGTGTTTACCAGCTTGTCCTTATCCAGCCCAGCAGCAGGAAGTCAAACACTCTCCTCCCTCTCCTCCTGTTTGCTTTCACCTGCTGAAAATCCCCTCCCGTGTGCTGAGGCTCTGGTCACTGGCACCAGTAACCTCCAGTAACTGGTTCAGAGGTGGCTCTGGGGCTCTCCCAGGGTAGGAAACCTCCCCTTGAGCTGTGCCAAAGGTTACCCCAAGGGTTATCATCATCCCAGAGAAGCTGGGTGCTCTGGGAGCTGCTCAGCAGTGAAGACCCCCCCCAAAAAATCCCAAAAATCCCAATCCAGGGAACCCCCCTGGTGCTTCAGCCCCTTCTCCCAGGCCAGGCCCTGCTCTGCACGTCCCCCATGTCCTCCAGGCTGCAGCACACCAGAATAACCTCAGCCTGAGGAGCAGGGTGACCTCCCCCTAATCTCCAAAGCCCTTAAAACCTGGATCATCTTCTCCCGAGGTGGATATCACCCCACTTGGCAGCTAAAGCAGGTCAGGGCGTGCTGCAGGACAGCTCCTTCCCCACTGAATCCACCCTGGGAAGAGCCATGGCCACTGGCCTTCCCAAAACTCCCCAGCCCCCTGTCTGGTTGGTTACTCTGAGCACCCCTCAAATTGTTACCAAGATGGGATAAAACAGGGAATTCAGCCTGCAGGGCCAGAGTTTGGGCATCTTCCAGCACAAAACACCTTCTCAGCTGCTAATGCTGCTGGAGAGCGTGTGGAATAGTTTGGGTCAGGTTGCCAATTCCAAACAAAGTCACTAGGTTGGGATCCTGAAGGGGGCAATTGAGTTTCTGGAAAGCTCCCAGCCTAAGCAGTGGTGTTTCCTCGAGGAAATCTAAACAAAGCAAAGGGAGAAGGCAGGATGGGAGCTGGGAAGCGCCGGGCATGCCCCAGCCCAGGACACCGTGTTAAAGCTGCGGATCACGGAGTAGCTGTGGGTGTAATGAGCTCAATGCCACGCTTTTGAACCCAACCCCAGCAAATCCCCATCCCCTGGCTCAAGGCTGTCTCCAAGGCTCAGCTCATTTCCATGCCGGATGCTGGAGAGGTGCCCAGGGTCGCCCGTCCCGGCTGCACCGCTGGGAAGGCTCAGCCTGCCCAAATTCTGCTGCTGTGGGACCTGAGCTGAGCCAAGCCAGGCTTAAAGCAGCCCCAAAAAACAGCTTTTGTTCCCAGCCTCACGGCCCCAATGCCAGCACTGCAGCTGGACACAGTTCTACCCCTCAAGACTCCTCTTAAAGGAGCCTGGGCCCCAAGGGATCAGAGCGGTGGAAATATTAATTAACTGATCTTCAATTAGCTCAATTCCACGTCAGTGCCATTCTCCATAGAAAAGAGTTGGGGCTGCTCAGCCTGGAGAAGAGAAGCCTAAAGGGGCTCCAGGAGAGCTGGAGAGGGAATTTGGCCAAGGGATGGAGGGACAGGACACAGGGAATGGCTTCAAAGTGACAGGGCTGGGTGGGATACTGGGAAGGAATTCCTCCCCGTGAGGGTGGGGAGAGGATGGGATGGAATTCCCAGAGCAGCCCCAAGGCCAGGCTGGACAGGGCTGGGAGCAGCTGGGACAGTGGAAGGTGTCCCTGCCACGGCAGGGGTGGCACTGGGTGGGCTTTGAGGATCCTGCAAATCCTTTGGCTCACACTCTGCCCTTGAAGAGATGCTGGGGAGCCTGTCCCCATCTCCTGGGGACACGGGGCAGGGCTGCTGAGGGTGACACGGGGCAGGGCTGCTGAGGGTGACAGTGCTCCTGGCAGCAGGAAGGACAAGGGGAAAGGGAAGGGGAAAGGGAAGTCCCAGGGAGCTTTGGGCAGGGCTGCTGAGGGTGACACGGGGCAGGGCTGCTGAGGGTGACAGCGCTCCTGGTGCCGCAGCAGGAAGGACAAGGGGAAAGGAAAGGGGAAAGGGAAGTCCCAGGGAGCTTTTCTCCCGTGGGTCCCAAACTTATCTTTCCCACTAGTGACCCCGGGTTCCAAGAAGGGGAAGCTGTCTGCCTTTTGTTTTCGTTTTGCTCTGAATCCTGTCCCACGTGGCTGCCAGGAAGCGGGGCAGGAGCACGTGCTCCCCATCCCTCGGCGTCTCCTGCTGCAGTTTTCAGCTGGATGTGACTGATTCCAGCAGATTTTGGAGCAAAAGCAGAGCACTGGGAGAGGGTGGCCACTTTCTGGGACGGATTCTTTACTTTTTGGCAACAAAGCCAAGCGTTTGTTGACTGCAAGATGACGGAGCAGTGTTCAGATCTGGGGAAGGTTGCAACACCCCAAAACCCACGGCTTGTGCTGTCACTCCTCTCTCCAGAGAAATTTGTGCTGGGAATTAGATTTTCTTTAAATTACCTTCCTCCCCATTGCAGTTTCTAACTTGAAGCATGCTGTTTTGTAAGAACCCCTGACGTTTGAGGGGTTGGGCTCCCTGGCAGGGGGATGCTGTGAAGCACCAGCCGTGCTCCCACCCATGAAGGGACGTGATGAATTTGGGGACAGCGAGGCCGAGGGAGCAGCAGAGGCTGCAGGGGGAAGGTCTGAAGGGTTTATTCCCTGCTCCACCTCCTCAGCCCCTGCACTGCCCGTGCCTGTCCCTGCCTCCCACCCCGGGTGACTCAGGGCAGGGAACCGGCTCATCCCCTCGCCCCAGCTCCCCCGGGTGACACAGGGCTGATGCTGGGCTGCCCTGGTGGCACCCACGTCCCGTCCCATCCTTCAGCTCCTCCACGCCGGCTCCAAGGCCACGTGTGCCCTCCCTGCCGGGATGACACACGCCCGGAGTCATCCTCACCCGGGTGAGTCAGATGTTTCCTGCTCGGCCGGTTCCTCCTCATCCTCAGCCCCGGGCCAGCAGCTGGATCCACGCCGGAGGTGGAGCCGGGTGCTGATGGTGAGGAAGTGACACCGGGGAGCATCCACCGGCCCACCCTCAGGTGACCCAGAGCCCCAGTAAATCCCAGTTCAGCCGGGAAAACACTCTGCCCTCCAGTTCTGGAGACACCCAGCTGCTGCTGTCCTTCCCCCCGTGTTAAACCCACAAGGTCTTGGGGTTGCTGGATGGCAAAGCCATGAAGAACCCCCTGGGATGGTGGGAGCATCCCCCTGTGGAGGGAAACTGAGGCTGGGCAGCTCTGGTGAGGAAGGAGACACTTGGGTGGCTTCCCAAGGTGGGACAAGCCGCCCTGCCCTTGACCTTGGCTCCTGCCACTGACCTGGGCAGCCTCAGGGGAAGATGTTAACTTGGTTTTCCAGGAATTTGCCAAAGGTGCCCCTCCCATACCCACAGAGGCAGCCAGCAGGGAGGAATCAGCTGGGTAAAACTAATCTCTTGGCAAAGGGAAAAATTTAAAAAAAAAAAAAACAAAGAGGAAAAGCTGCCCCCTGCTCAATTCCATCCCAGATTTTGCCTTTTGAAGGAGGGATGGGGGAGAGGAGAGGCTCAGCCCCACTCCCAGTGACGAGGCTGAGGGATGAGGAAGGCCAGGGTGAGCTGGCACATCCCAGGGCAACGCGGGGCAGCAGCGGCAAACTTTCAAGCTGGGATCTCAAAGGACGCTGCCGAGGTTAATTAAAGTTTGCACAATCCCTTGGGGGTTAGATAAGTCTGGACAACCCACTTTCCAGGCAGGAAAAGGGCAGGAGCTGGGGAGGGAGGGAATATGCCCCCAGATAGTGGCAGAGCAGGTAAAGCTGCTCCATGGCAAGAATGGGAAGAAAAATCCCATTTTTGAGGCTATTTCCAAGGCCTTGAGGTGGGCACTGACCACAGCTCTTGGAAAAGGCACTTTTTTACGCCAGCTGAGCTCCTTTTCTCCCTGATCCAAAGGTAAAACACATCCCAGGCTACCACCTACAACCTTTTCTCCCAAATACAGCGTTTGATAAGAAGACCCAACCAAACAAATCACAGCTTTCCAAGGATTTCACCACCCTGTGCTGGGGACTCCCTGCCTTCTCCCTTTGCCTGGGGAGCGTTGTGCACCAGGAATGATTTTGACACGCAGGGTGGAAGCAGCCAGGTCAGACAGCTTCTCCCCCTCTCCCTGAGCCCAGCTCAGCTCCCTGCTTCTCCTCACGGGAGGATTCACAGGAATTTGTTTAAAAACACCCCAGAAAATCCAGTTGTGGAGGCAGCCAGCAGGGCAGTGCCGTGTCCCACAGGATCCCAGCTCCGGCCGGCAGCTCCTGGATATTTTTTTTTCCCTCCCTCACATCTCAACCACCTTTTTTAATTTGCGTTTGGGAGGCACGACAGGCTCCCGAGGCTCCGCACACCCTCCTCCCGCTGGCTGGGGAAGGAGAATTCCTCCAGCCCGGCTTTCCCCCTGCATTATCCCAGCTCTTCCCGATAAGGAAGGCGTGAGCAGCCCGAGCCGGGCCCGGGCTGTGCCGCTGGCCTATTTCTGCCCGGGTTACACAACACAACCCCTTCCCTGCCGGGGATGCGGCTGTTGCACAACCCCGGGGCCAGCGGCGAGAAGCCGAGCCCGTATTCCCGTATTTCCTTGCGGATCGCTTTGCCTTGGGAACTTTTCCCTGCACTTTGTTTAGGTTGGGGCTGGTTTTTTTTATTTTTTATATATTTTTTTTTAATGTTCTGCCTCGGTTTCCTTGCTATCTAACCCCGCTGAAGGGCCAACGTGGCAAGTTTCACTTCCCCACCAGCATCTCCAGGGTTATCCCAGGTCTCTCCGAGCATTTCCCTCAGGTTTTTTCACGGCGATTTTCGCAAATCCCGACCGCCTCACAGTGGGACCAGCAATCCCGGCCATTCCCGAGTCGGGAATCACAGACAAACCCTCTCTGCCCTGTTCAGGATGCCAGCGGAGCCTGCAGGAGCAGCCTGAGCTCTCCGCTCGCTCCCATCCAGCGTTTTTCCCCCTGGAATAATTCATTAAGCGCAGCCTAAGCGCTGTCCTGGCCAGACAAAGGAGCCACGGAGAGCAGCGACCCTCGAGCTCCGGATCGGGGGGCGACCCGCACCCTGGGAACCCCCCCGGGGACCCCAAAACCCCTCGAACAGGAGACGGGGGGTGTCCCCACCGCTGTCACTGCGGCCACACGTGCGCGGCCACCGCGTGGCCGAGGCGACCCGAGGGGCGAGTGCCACCCCCGGGGCCGGTGGCCCGGGCTGACCCGGGTCCCCGCGGGGGCTGCGGCTGTCCCGGCACGGCGGGGAGCGGAGCAGCGGCGGCCGGGGATGCTCGGCGCCGGCGGGAAGCGGCGGCACGTGCGGCGCGGGGGTCCCGGCGCGGAGATCGCCCTTCCTCCTCCTCCTCCTCCTCCTCCTGCTCCTGCTCCGCCGCCCGGCCACGCGGGGTCCCGCGGCACGTACCGCACGCGGCCCCGGCCGGGCAGCGCCGGGGCCTCCGCCCGCCCGGCGCGGCCCCGCTTATCTCGCCTCCTGGTCCCTTTTTAAAAAGTTTTTAAGGTTTTTTCCTCTTTTTTTTGGTTTCTTTTTCCTTTTTTTTCCCTTCCCCTTTTTTTCTCTCTTTTCACTCCCTTCCTCTCCTTCATCCCTTTTCTGCTTTTTTCTTTTTTTCCCCATTCCTTTTACTTTCTTTTTTCAACTTTTTTCCTCATCCTTTTTCCTTCCCCTCTTCACTTTCCTTTTCCACTTTTTTCTCCCTCTTCACTCTCCCCTTCTCCTTTTCCCTCCTTTTTTTTTGTTTTGTTTTTACTTTTACCCATCCTTTCTTTTTCTTCCCTTTATCTCTCCTCTTATTTTCTCTTCTTCCCCCCCCAACTTTTTTTTTTTTTTTTTTTATGGTAAGAGATCCTTAGGTCAAAACACTTCCAAAAGGAGGTAATTGAAAACAATGGAAAGGCTTGTCCAGGAATTCCCTGGGAACCCCCCCGGGGACCCCAAAACCCCTCGAACAAGAGACGGGGGGGTGTCCCCACCGCTGCCACCCTGGGAACCCCCCCGAGAAACCCAAAACCCCTCGAACAGGAGACGGGGGGGTGTCCCCACCGCTGCCACTCTGGGAACCCCCCCGGGGACCCCAAACCAAGCAGGCAGAACCCCAAAACCCCTCGAACAGGAGACGGGGGGTGTCCCCACCGCTGTCACTGCGGCCACACGTGCGCGGCCACCGCGTGGCCGAGGCGACCCGAGGGGCGAGTGCCACCCCCGGGGCCGGTGGCCCGGGCTGACCCGGGTCCCCGCGGGGGCTGCGGCTGTCCCGGCACGGCGGGGAGCGGAGCAGCGGCGGCCGGGGATGCTCGGCGCCGGCGGGAAGCGGCGGCACGTGCGGCGCGGGGGTCCCTTTTCCTCTTCACTTTCCTCTCTCCTCTCCCCACTTTCCCGCAGCGGGACCCCCCCTCACCTTCTGCGCCTGGTCATGGCTGAGCTCGGTGAAGAAGTAAGCGAGGAGGTGCGACGCGATCATGGCGGGAGCGGCTCGGCTCGGCTCGGCATGCACTGGGAGTGCACTGGGCAGGGCTGGAATTGCACTGGGCGGTGCGTTGGGCTGTACTGGGCGGGTACCGGGGGTCATGCACTGGTTTGTACTTCTGTCCATGCCCACAGCCCCTGTGCATGTCCATGGCTGTGTCCGTGTGGCTGTGGCTATGTCCGTGTGTCTGTCTGTGCCTGCAGCCTGTATGTGTGTCCGTGGCTGTGTCTGTGTGTCCGTGACTGTGTCCATGTGTCCATCCCCGCAGCCCGTGTGTGTGTCCGTGTGTCCGCAGCTGTGTCTGTGTGTCTGTCGATGCTCACAGCCTGTATGTGTGTCTGTGGCTGTGTCCATGGCTGTGTCCGTGTGTCTGTGGCTGTGTCCGTGTGTCTGTCGATGCTCACAGCCTGTATGTGTGTCTGTGGCTGTGTCCATGGCTGTGTCCGTGTGTCCATGGCTGTGTCCGTGTGTCTGCGGCTGTGTCCGTGTGTCCATCCCCGCAGCCCGTGCCCGCCGCCGCCCCGCCCCGCTGTGCCCGGCGCTGTGGCTGTGGCTGTGGCTGTCACATGCGTGTGAACGTGCGCGGCCCTGTGCACCCGTCAGGTCGCATCCATCACCCCGCGGCCCGTGGCGCTCGCCGCTCCGCCCGCGTGTCCCGCTCCCCGTGCGCAGCCACGGACGGCGGGGGGTGGCCCCTGCTCCCCCAAAACCTCGGGAAGTGTCCTTCGGGAGCCCACCGCGGCTCGGGAGCACCACCGCGGGGCTCTGCCTGCAGCACGCCGCCTTCCTCCTCGCCTCCATCCCTGCTCCATCCCGGCTCCAACCCTGCTCTATCCCTGCTCCATCCCTGCTCTATCCCCGCTCCATTTCAGCTCTATCCCTGCTCCATCTCAGCTCCATCCCTGCTGTATCCCCACTCCACCTCAGCTCCACCCCTGCTCCATCCCTGCTCTATCTCTGCTCCATCTCTGCTGTATCCTCGCTCCATCTCAGCTTCATCTCAACTCCATCTCTGCTCCATCCCGAGCTGCTCGATGTTGGGGGTGGCCTGCGGGACATTGTCCAGCTGCCCGCTGCTGCTGCACGACACAGTCTGGTCGAAGAGGGTCGGCAGGCTGCTGATGGGGGACCTGGGGGTGCCGGGGGCGTCAGGGGGCCCTGTTCTGCTCGCGGCTCCATCCCTGCTCTATCCCTGCTCCATCCCTGCTGTATCCCCGCTCCATTTCAGCTCTATCCCTGCTCCATCTCAGCTCCATCCCTGCTGTATCCCCACTCCACCTCAGCTCCACCCCTGCTCCATCCCTGCTCTATCTCTGCTCCATCTCTGCTGTATCCTCGCTCCATCTCAGCTTCATCTCAACTCCATCTCTGCTGTATCCTCGCTCCATCTCAGCTCCCTCTCAGCTCCATCTCTGCTCCATCCCTGCTCTATCCTGGCTCCATCCTTGCTCTATCCCTGCTCCATGCCCGCTCCATCTCTGCTCCATCTCTGCTCCATCCCCGCTCCATCTCAGCTCCATCCCAACTCCATCTCTGCTCCATCCCAGCTCCATCCCTGCTGTATCCCTGCTCCATCTCTGCTCCATCCCCGCTGTATCCCTGCTCCATCTCTGCTCCATCCCAGCTCCATCCCGGCTCCGCGGGCCACACCGGGCGCTGCTGGCCCCGAGCCCTACGAGGGCCGCGGCACGTCCTGGCCCTCCGGAGCGGCTCCGCTCCCCGCTGCCAGCAGAGCCGGTCCCAGCAGCCCTGGGGCAGGAGTTACCCAACCCGTCTGCCCGCTCCCGCCGCTTTCCCAACCAGTCCCCAGCAGCTCCGGCTCCTCTCGCCGTCACCCTCTCAGGAGCCCTTTCCGCGCGGCCATTTACATCGTTTTGGTGTTTCTGCTCAGGGAATTGTAACTCCGTTTCAAAGGAAAGAGGGGGAGAAGCAACCAAAGCCGGAGGCGAGGCAATGTTCTACCAGACACCTTTTCCTGCAGGATCCAGTCCTGCCGGCCCCACCACGGATCTGTCAGGCATTCCAGTTCAACCCCCAGATCGTGACCTGATGCATTTCAGGATTTGGACTCAATGATCCTTGTGGATCTCTTCCAACTTGGGATATTCCATTAATCTCTGTCGCTGGCCCTACATTTCAATTCACCCTCTGATCCAGCTTTTTTTTTTTACCCCTGAAAAGGCAAATTCTCCGTGGTCATGTTGAAATTAAAGCAGCGTTTGAGCCTAAAAATAGCTGGACACATCTGTCTGCCTTCCCCATCTGCCACCAGCCTGGCTGGATGAAGGAAGCGACTGTCTGTGCAAAATGAGGGACCTGTCTCATCCTTCTGTCCCGTAAAATCAGTTTATTCAGGGAAAATAATCCCCAACACTCCATTGATTTGCCAGACAACGCCCTAGTCAAGGAAAGACAGGAGGAGCTGGGCTCTGCTCAACCACCTCCTCTAAATAAAGTAATTTTTTTTTTTTGATTTGAGGTTTTTCAGTTGGTTTTGGAAGCCCTTTCACAGAATAAAACTCCCAATGGAAATCCTATCAAGGCATCCCAGCTCCACATGGATTTGTAATAATCCATTGGCATTTAACGCCGCGTTCCTTGGGAAAAGGAAGCGGCTGATTGTAGGGACTGGAGCTGGAACCAGCTCTAATTTCTCTAATGTGATCCCTTAAGGACGAGTGGTGCAGTAATAACAACGTGGGAGCGGGAGGAAGAGCCGTGCCCAGCGGCCAGAGCAGGGCCAGAGCAGCCTGGAGCCCTGGGACCAGCCAAGCCCCCCATCCCGTGGAGTGCTGCTCTCCTGGGGACCCCCAGGACACCCTCAGGAACCCGCTGAGGGTCATAACCCACTTTTACACTGGGGAAACTGAGGCACGGGTGGGTGCAGAGGATCGGGGAGCCAGCAGGGAGCAGCTGGGATGACCCTGGAGCTGCTCCAGGAGAGGCGTGAACTCATCTGGGATCAGCTGCCTCGTGATTCACGGCTGCAGCGCTGCTCCACATACTTTCCAGCGAGGTTTCATCGCTTGCACGGCCACTCAGAGCGCCACGGACCCACCGTGACACCGGTGACCAGCTATTGACTTTGCCCTGTCACCCAAGGCACCGGAAACCCGGAGCTGGGCTGGACCCAGCCCTCGCACGGGGCCGGGAATAGAAAACCGGTCGGAGAACTTTTCTTCCTTCGGCAGCCGCAGGACGAGCGCGTGACCCGGGGCTGAGCCGGGTGAAACAGCCTTGCCCCGGCCCTGCCGGCAGCGAGGGGGCTCGCCCAGCCCAAACTGGGAGGGGAGGGTTGTGCCCTGCCCGCCCTGGGGGTGGTGGGGATCCATCCTTCCTTCCTTCCATCCTTCCATCCATGCTGTGGCTGCTCCTCCGCAGATCTCGGTGCTGGCGCCATTTCCAGCCCATCCCATTCCCAGTCCATTCATCCCCATGGATACCTCACCCCAAAAGAGCCAGGGGGGTTCCCCGGGGGTCCCTGGGCTGGGCTGCCCCACAGCCTGGCTTCCCACCCCGCTGGTGGGGCTAATCCCCGGGGAACGGACGGAAAAGGGGAGATTAAATTAGATTAGCTGGAGCCGCCTAATTTTAGCGTCCTCACGTGTCACTGACACACTGCTCCAGCTCTTCCCCTGCTCCCCCAACCCCACATGACCCCCAAAGCCACCAAGGCCACCAGTCAGGACAGGAGGCATCCAAAGGGGGTTTGGCTGGGTGGTGGCACCCAGAGTGGGTGGGCATGGGGGTCACTAGAGCTGTGCCAGGAGGGTACTGGGTGTGATGGCCACATTCCACTGGCCACGGCCATCCTGCAGTGGTGCTGGCCACCCTCCATTAGTGACAGTCACTCTCTATCAGTGACAACCATCCACCTCCAGTGATGGTCACCATTGCTCACTTGTGGCCACTGTCCCCTCGTGGTGGCCACCTTCCCCTTGTGGTGGCCACTCTCCACTGGTGATGCTAACCCTCAATCCTGGGATCATCTCCTCCCCAAGCAGCCCCCTCTGCCCAGGGGGATTCTGTAAGGGGACACTCCATCCTGGCACATCCTCTTTCCCCCCTCCACTCCCTGCTCCTGCCCTGCCTGTCCTGTTCACCACACCATGAAGATGACCTTGGCCTGGCCAGACCTCCCTCGGGGCAGTGCCAGCTCATCCAGCTGTGCAGGAGCCCTCCAGCTCCATCAAACATCCCCTGATCCATTGGATGCTTCACGGGATCGGCCCCGTGACACCACAGCCAGAGGAGATGTCTGGCCCCTTCCATTGCCAGGAGCCACACTGTCCCCAACACCCCAGGAAGGTCCCCAGCATGTCAGAAAGGTCCCAAAAGTCCCAGGAAGGTTCCCAACATCCCAGGAAAGTCCCAAAATCCCAATCCAGCACCCAAAGCCTGGATGCTGGAGCTGGCAGGAGCTGTGGCAGGAGGGAAGGTGTCCCCAAAAGCCAGCACAGCCAAAGGCAGGAAGAGCTGAGGACCATCCTGCACCCCAGAGGGGCCGTGCCAGGTGCCACCAAACCTGGCACAGCTCCGAGGTCAAAAGTCCCGGTCAGGACACGGGACCCTGAGTCACTGTGCCCTGGCATGAGCAACTCCCATGTGCAGCACTTTCCCAATCCCAGCGGAAAGGGGAGGTTTCTCCTGCGTCCCTGGGGCACTTTCCGTGGGCACTGCCACGTCCCACAGCGTGGGACGCGCCACGTCCCTGATGCCACCAAACTGGAGCAGGAATACGGGCAGGGAACGCTCGGTGCCAGGGGCTTTTCCCTTCTCTCTGCCCACCCTCATCCTCTCTCCCAGAGCTGTGGGTGTGGGTGAGCTGGATCCTGGGGGTCTTGTGGGGGTGGGAGAGCCACCCTGATGGTCCCATGTCACAGCCACATCCAGCTTGCCCTGACCCCAAGAGATCCTCCCCTGCCCATGGCAGGAAACTCAGATTTGGGGAAGATAGAGCTGTGACAGAATCCCACCCTCAGCCCTGTGCTGTCCTGGCAGCGTCCACACCAGCGTGGCAAAGCCACGTGCGGGTGGTTGTGCCTGCCAGCCCATCCTCGTGCTGGGTGAGGCACAGGGAACAGGGGGCGACAGGCTGGGAGCCCCCTCCTGTCCCCCTAAACCCCAGCCCAAAGCCACGGCGCTGCTGGGGCAGGGAAGGATTGAAACCTCAAGTCCCCCAAGTCCAGAATGATTCCTCGAGTCCAGCCCAGAGCTCTCTCTGGGATGCAGGAGCAGAGCTGGGCTCTCCCAAAGGATCTCTGCTCATCACAGGCAGCATCTCCCTCACTCCCTGGCAGAATGATCATACCTCAAAGACCCAAATCACATGGATTTCCACCAACTCACTCTGACAGGCAGAAAATCACCCCAAATATTACATCCCACCTTGCTCCAACATCGCTCCACCTGGTGGAGGCTGAAGATTTGAGGAACTCCACTCTGCCATCAGTCATTCCCCAGCACCCATCCCGTGATCCCTTGACACCAAATATTACATCCCACCTTGCTCCAATGTCACCCCACCTGGTGGAGGCTGAAGATTTGAGGAACTCCACCCTGCCATCAGCACCATCCCGTGATCCCTCGACACCCTCAGCTGCTCCCCTCTCACCCCTTTGTGCTTCACCCACCGCAGCTCCCAGTCCAGGCACAGGGAGCACAAACTCCCTCCCTGCCCCAAACCCAGAGTGAAAATCCCCTTACCTGGGCGAAGCTCTCCTCGTCCATCCCGTTCTCCGTGTGCATGGACGTCATCCTCGGAGCATCCACCATGGTTTGCTGAGACAGAGCTGCACGGAGCTGGCTCTGGGAGGGCTTTATCATCTCTGGTCCCCGCGGAGGAAGGCCCTGCGTGCCAGCGCCGAGGTCATTGGCTGGGCACGGCGCGGATGAAGACGGGATTTGAGCAGCAGCGCTGTAATCCCGGAGCCCTGGCGTGGCACTGACGGAGCTGTCTGGGCTGAGATGCTCTGCCCAGGGGCTGGGCTGCTCCTGCCCCACCCTGGCAGCCCCACGGGGCACCCCTGTGCTCCGGACCCCTCCGCTCGGGACCCCCGGGCACGGCAAGAAGGAGCAGCCAGATCATGGATGGAGCATCGCCCTGTCCCCGCGGGGGTGACCTCGCCTGCCCCCAGCCCCAATTCCAGCGCAGAGAGTTTGGCTGAGGGACCCCCTCTCCTTCCTCCCGGATCTCTCCAATAAATGGAGAAGCCCCCACAAGCTGAGGTGGGATGGATGTGAGAGGGGCTGGGAGCCCCGAGGCGGAACGAGGCCGCACGGCCCCGAGCCTGCTGGAGACTCATCATGCGTGTGCAAATGTGTGCTGCGTGTGAGGGCACACGTGGGACGGGCACACGTGGCCTCCCCCGAGGCTCTGACCCGGCAAAGGGCTTAATTGGGATCGGCAGCATCTGCCACGGCAGCGACAGCTCCCGGTGCTTAGGAGGAGCTTTGAGAGTCCCGGAGAATTCCAAAAACCCGGATGGGGGATAAAAGAGGGGGAAAAGAGCTGCCTGGCTCCTCCTCCACCGCGTGGCTCCGTGGGTCCATCCCTACGTGACAGTGGGCACGCAGGGCCCCTCTCCCTGCTGCTGGAGAGGAGCTGCCGGGCAAAGAGGGTTAAGGTCGATTCATTGATTCATTCTAACGGAGATTATCCAGCTTGGAGGGCCCAGCAGCACCAGCAGCCAGTGTTATCTGGGATATCTGGGATGGGAAAAGCAGGAATTGCTGTCAGGGAGGAGGAGGATGGAGCTGCAGCCCCAGGTTTTCCCATCACAGAGAGGGATGGGCTTGAGAGAAGGGGTAAAGCTCGGATTTGGGAGCAGCAGGCTCCAGGCTGGATTTAGGAACTGCCTGGATGGGCTAAAGGTTAAGACCAGGCCTAAATCTTCATCCAGGTGCTGAGCTCAGCCCCAGCCCTTGGTCGGGTGCTGTGGGAGCTGGCAGGGCAAGGCAGAGCTGAGCTCCAGCCTTGGTCCCATCCCTGCCCCATCCTGATCCTGATCCCTGTCCCTGTCTCACCCCTGCCCCAATCCCCGTCCCAATCCCATGCCCATCATCATCCCTGCCCTGTCCCCATCTCAAACCTGCTCCCATCCCTATCCCTGCCACCATCTCTGTCTTGGTTCCTGTTCCCTCTTCAACACCATCCTGATCCCTGTCCCCATCCCACTGATCCCATCCCATTGATCCCAACCCATCCCATTCCCAGGGCCATCCCATCCATCCCATCCCATCCCCAGGGTACCTGGCCACCGGTGACAGTCCAGGGCTCACCCAGACCCTGGGACAGGGGACCCCCACCCCAGGCTGTCCCCACATCCACCTGCCTCACGACGGGGCTTCGGCAGCGCCTCCATCCAATGGAAACTCCTTTCATCTCCAAAAATTCCTGTGCTCTCGCACGGGGAAGCTCCGGGCTGGGATCCTCCCTGTGCCGCACAAAGGCTCCTTCACCGCACGGACAGAGCCGGCTTTGTTCAGCCCGCTCCGGCCGGGCGGCACCGGCCCGCCGGCCCCGGCTCTCCGGGAGCCTCCGGGAGTGAGAGAATCAGCGAACCGCGAGCGCTGGCCGGTGGGAGATGAGCGCCGGGCATCGCTGCTCGTCCTGGATTTACTCCCTCCCGCCAGCCCCGGTGGGATTTTAGGCGTTATTTGGATTTAAGCAAGGCAGGATTGTTTAATATCCCCCCGGGATGTGCGGGGGTGGAGGGGATCCAAGCGATGCCCGGCTGTGCCTGCCCGAATCCTCCATGCCAATAAATCCCTTTATTGTTATCCTGAGGGATAACCCGGGCGTGGCCGGGTAAGAGTGGCCCCTTCCCAGCCCGGGACCCCCGGGAATCGCGGTGGGTGGCCGGGACAATTCCCACCCCCTGCCCTTCAGCACAAAAGGGGGATAAATAATCCTCTCACAAGGGGGGCTGGAGGAGCCGGCGCCTGGGATACAGCAGGATGGCGATGCCCCCTGGGATGTCCCCAGGATGTCCCCTGGGATGTCCCCAGGGTGTCCCTCGGACCCCCGGGCATTGCACTGGGAACCTCCCCAACCACAAATCCTACAGCATCAACCCCAGGGCTGGGTTAGGGGCAAAAGCAGCCCCTGGAACCCCCTCCCAGATCTCCCTTCAGCCCTCTGGGTGAGCTGGGGAAACTGAGGCAGGAGAGATGTCTGTGTCACATCAGGGCACGGGGATATTGGGGTGCTGATGCCCCCAGCAGCACGGGCAGCAGCAGGAGAGAGCATTCCATGACCGTAAGGACAGGACCAAAGTTCTCCAGGAGCCTCCCTGTCCACGTGGATTCCTGCTCTCCCGCATTTCCCACCCCTGGGCACCCAGAACATGCTGGAAACGGGACAGGGATCCCGGTGCCAGCCAGGCTGGGCCTTGGGGAGCTCAGGGAGCAGGCTGTGAACAATGCCCGAGGTTCCAGGACACATGCCAGGTGCCCTGGGATGTGCCTGGCAGCACGAGGAGGAGGAGGATGGAGGTGGAAGCGGCCACAGGCGTTGTCACATCTCCATAAACCCCCTTTGGAATATTTCACTCCCCATAAAATATTTTATCATTTCATCCGGGCACCACGAGGCTGGCACGAGGCTGGCAGCCCTGGCAGGCACCGAACCCTCCCCAGACTTTTGGGACCCTTGGAATATTTCACTCCCCATAAATATTTTATTATTTTATCTGGGCACCACGAGGCTGGCATGAGACTGGGAGCCCTGGCAGGAACCAAACTCTCCCGGGACATTTGGGACCGTGCCAGGAAAGATTGGGTTTAATCCCGTGCCAACAGCTGCCCCGGGCCCAGATTAGCCCTGGCACCGTCCCCCTTCCCTGACCTTCCCTGACCTTCCCAGGCCACCCCGTGGGAGTTCCCAAAACAGCACCCGGGGTTTTGGGATGGTGTTTCACAGGGGTTCAGCCTTTTCCAAGCTCCCTCTCCTAACTGGGACCCCTCATCACCCTGTCCCTCATTACTGCCACCCTAAAAACACAAAATCCTTTAAAATGAGGTTCTTAATAACAGTGACCCCAAAAAATAGTGACCCATAAAAAATGGAGGGTCCTAACAACTGTGACCCTTTAAATCCCTAATAACCCCAAATGCTAATTATTGTAACCCCTAAAACCATAACCCCTATTGTAACCCCAACTGTAACCCCTAAAACTGTAACCCCAAATATAACCCCTGTTGTAACCCCTAAAACACCTAATAACCCCAAACCCTATTAACAGTGACCCCTAATAAGTGTGTCCCCTAATAACCCCAAATCCCAATAACCGTGACCCCTAAAACGAGGTCACTAATAACTGTGGCCCCTTAAAACCCTGACCCTAATGGCCCCAAATTCTAATTATTGTAACCCCCAAAACTGTCACCCCTGCAAACCCCATTTCCACCAGCCCCTTCTGCACCCCCACCCCTCATTTTCCCCTCAATATTTCATCCCCCTCTGTTGAACTTGGGGCATTTCCCAGCTTTTCCCAAACCCCACAATGGGGGGGGGGGGTTCAACGGTGCTCCCAGGGGTGATCCCAGGTGAGCAGCTGGGTACAGACCCATTTTTGGGGTGATTTTACACCTCCCTGCCCTCAGATTAATTTGTCAGACACCAGAATTGTGCCCAGATCAGGGCAGGAATAATGGGATTATCCAGGGCCTGCTGCGGGACAGGGAAGCTCATTACGGAGCATTAAAGAGAAGGAAATTGGGTTTTTCTAAGTTCTTAGGAAAAAAACCTCAATTAACTTCCAGGTGCCTCTCGTTTTAGGGTCATTTTGGGGTTTCTTTGAAGTTTCCTCTGCACTCTAGCTCTCCTTATGGACACAGAAAGAACCTCCAGGATGCAGGAGCAGCTGGGGATGGTATTCAGGAGCTTCCAGGTTTGGGGAAACTGAGGCAGGGCAGCCCCAACCCTGCACGGGGGACACGTCCATGCCCCACACACACCTCAGAGCACCCGCTGGAGCCCCCAAATCCCCCAGGAAAACCGGGATGAGCCCCTTGGAGGGCTCAGGGAGGGGAAATCCACCCGGTGATGGGATGAGGATCCCCCCATGGTGGATAACCCGAAGTGACCTGCCTTTTTTTGGAGGAAAAAGGGCGGTTTTACCGTTTTATTTCCAGCCTCCCCGAGTTTTGCGGCATGTCAGGGACTGACACTGCCACCTACCGAGCCAGGCCCGTGTCATTAAACATCCTTCTGCTTTCCCACCCAAAAGTGGCTTTAGGAGCACACCAAGTCTCTCAAACCCACCCACTCAGGTGTCCGTCGGTGCCAGGACCCCAAATATCCCAAAATATCCCCAAATACCCCAAAATATCCCCAAATATCACCATCCCAAATATCCCTCAGCGCATTTTTGGGGCCTTTTTTGGGCTCAGGGCTTTGTGGATACCAGGTTGGGATGGGGAGAGGGGACAGCTGAGGCACAGCCAGGGATCAGGATTTTGGGATGGTGAATGGGGAAACTGAGGCACAGCCAGGAATCAGGATTTTGGGGCCACCAGGAATCAGGATTTTGGGGGTAAAAGGCAGGGACAGTGCGCAAGGAAACCGAGGCACAGCCAGAGCTCGTCAGGCCCAGATGGCTCCCACCTGTGTCTTGTTTACTCCTGGGTATTTAAGGGCCCTTTTCCCCCAAATTCCTCCTTTTTTGAGAGTCAGCTCAGTGGGTGCAGCCTTGGTCCTTTTGTGGGATGGGGGAGCCCAGCAGAGCTGGGGGGTGGCTGGGGGTCTCACAGGCCTCAGGGGTCCCAGGGCCCTCAAGGGATCCAAATCCCCTGGGGGTCCCAGAGCCCTCAGGGATCCCAAAGCCCTTGGAACCCTCAAGGGTCCAGGAGCCCTCAGGGATCTTGCAATCCTTGGATTCCTCAGGGGTCCTGCAGCCCTCAGGGGCCCTGAAGCCATTGGAGCCCTCGGGGGTCCTGGAGCCCTCAGAGATCCTAAAGCCATCGGAGCCCTTGGAGGTCCTGCAACCCTTGGAATCCTCGGGGGTCCTGCAGCCCTCAGAGCCCTCAGGGGCCCCAAAGCCCTCAGGGATCCTGAAGCCCTTGGAACACTCAGGGGTCCCAGAGCCCTCAAGGATCCTGAAGCCCTCAGGGGTCCTGCAGCCTTCAGAGCCCTTGGGGGTCCCAGAGCCCTCAGGGATCCTGAAGCCATCGGAGGTCTTAGGGGCCTTGGAGCCCTCAGGAGCCCTGCAGCCCTCGGAGCCCTCAGGGATCCTGAAGCCATTGGAGGTCTTGGGGGTCTTGGAGCCCTCAGGGGTCCTGAAGCCATCAGAGCCCTCAGGAGTCCTGCAACCCTTGGAGCCCCTGGAGCCCCTGCAGCCGTCAGAGTCCTTGGGAGCCCCGGAGCCCTCAGGGGTCCCAAAGCCCTCGGGGGTCCCGGAGCCCCCGGGGGCCCTGCAGCCCACGCCGCCCCCCGAGGTGCTGGAGGGGCTCCTGCAGCAGCGCTTCGGGCCCCTGCCCCGGCCGGCCACCATCGCCCGCCTGCGGCGCGGCCCCGCCGGGGCCTACGAGCCCACCGGAGACCCGGCCGAGGTGCTGGAGCGGCGGCAGGCGGCCAACGCCAAGGAGAGGGAGAGGGTGAGCGACCCCAGCACCTGCTGGAACCCCAAAGCACACCCCAGGGCTGGGTCACATTGGGGAGACCCCCAGGGGGGGACACTGGCAGTGCCACCGTGGGGGGACTTTGCGTTTGAGGGGTGGATTTAATCCCCAGTTGAGTTTTACCAAGGCCTGGTTTAATTCTGTGTGGGTGGGTTTAGTCCTGGGGTTGGTTTAATTCTGAGGTCTCAGTTTAATTGTGGGAGGGTCATGTTTAGTCCTGGTGAGCCCAGTTTTATCCGAGTTTAAAGGTCCCAATTTAATCCTGGAGGTCCCTGTTTGATTCTGTGAGGGACCCACTTTAATCCTGAGGGGGAAGTTCAATCCCTAGGGGTTGGTTTAATTCAGGGGGAGACCTCAATTTTGGTTATGGGCAGGTCTGGTTTAATCCAGCTGAGCCCAGCTGAACCCTGGGGGTGGTCCCAGTTAAACTTGAGAGATCCCAGTTTGGTCCTGGGGGGCTCCTGGTCTAAGTGGGGGCTCTTGGAGTAACCTGGGGGTCTCTGGAGTCCCTTTGGGGTGTCTAACAGGGGTCCCTTTGGAGCCCTTTTGGGGTCTCTAATGGGGTCCCCTCTGGCATCTCTGACTGGGGTGCCTTTGATATCTCTAACCCGGTCCCCTTTGGGGTCCCCTCATCCTCTGACGGGGTCCCTGTGTCCCGCAGATCCGGAACCTCAACAGTGGCTTCTCCAAGCTGCGGACCCTGGTGCCGCTGGTGCCGCGGGACCGCCGGCCCAGCAAGGCGGACACGCTGCGGGCAGCGGCGCAGTACATCCGGCTGCTGCGGGGCGTGCTGCGGGACTGCCAGGTGGGCACCCTAAACCTGACCCTAAAACTGCCCACAAACCCCTGAAACATCCACTGCTGCGGGGCTGCCAGGTGCGACCCCAAAACTGACCCTAAACCCCCTAAAACATCCGGCTGCTGCGGGACGTGCTGCGGGACTGCCAGGTGTGACCCCAAAACTGACCCTAAAACTGCCCACAAACCCCCTGAAACATCCACTGCTGCGGGACTGCCAGGTGCGACCCCAAAACTGACCCTAAACCTGACCCTAAACCCCCTGAAACATCCACTGCTGTGGGACTGCCAGGTGTGACGCTAAAACTGACCCCAAACCTGACCCTAAACACCCTGAAACATCCACTCCTGCAGAACTGCCAGGTGGGCACCCCAAAACTGACCTACAACCCCTCCCCCTATAATTTGGGGTCCTGGTGGGAATTTTCCTGCCTGAGCTTTTTGAGGCTGGAATTAATTTAATAATTAATTTGATTTATTTTGGGGGGTTATTATTGGAGGGCGTGTTTGTTATTGCTGGGGGGGCACCCCCCAATTCTGATGTATTTTTTTAATTCCCCTTTTCCCAGGAGCTCGGCGCTGGGCAGGAGTTGGGGGGCACTGCAGGGGGGGCACCCTGTGACCCTAAAACTGCCCACAAACCCCTGAAACATCCACTGCTGCGGGGCTGCCAGGTGCGACCCCAAAACTGACCCTAAACCCCCTAAAACATCCGGCTGCTGCGGGACGTGCTGCGGGACTGCCAGGTGTGACCCCAAAACTGACCCTAAAACTGCCCACAAACCCCCTGAAACATCCACTGCTGCGGGACTGCCAGGTGCGACCCCAAAACTGACCCTAAACCTGACCCTAAACCCCCTGAAACATCCACTGCTGTGGGACTGCCAGGTGTGACGCTAAAACTGACCCCAAACCTGACCCTAAACACCACTGCCAGGTGTGACCCCAAAACTGACCCTAAACCTGACCCTAAACCCCCTGAAATATCCACTGCTGTGGGACTGCCAGGTGTGACCCTAAAACTGACCCCAAACCTGTCCCTAAGCCCCCTGGAACATCCACTCCTGCAGGACTGGGCACCCCAAAACTGACCCACAACCCCCCCATAATTTGGGGGCCTGGTGGGGATTTTCCTGCCTGAGCTTTTTGAGGCTGGAATTAATTTAATAATTAATTTGATTTATTTTGGGGGGTTATTATTGGAGGGCGTGTTTGTTATTGCTGGGGGGGCACCCCCCAATTCTGATGTATTTTTTTAATTCCCCTTTTCCCAGGAGCTCGGCGCTGGGCAGGAGTTGGGGGGCACTGCAGGGGGGGCACCCTGAGCCTGGCCTGGCAGTGCCCCCCCGTGCCCCCCAGCCTGGGGGACGGTGAGTGGGGGGGAACACCCCGGGAATTTGGGGAGCACCGGGATAGGGGTGGGTCAGCCCTACCTGGAGGGGGAATAGAGCACCTTGGGAGGTTCAGGGACACAGAAAATTTTGGGGGGGTCACAATGGAGTCCAGGTTTGGGGGAGCATCTGGGTAACACCGTCATAAACAAGGGAGGCTCGAGATCAACTTTTCCCCAAAAATATTCCAATAGGGGGGGGGGGGGGGGGGGTCTCCCCCGAAGGCCGAGTCCAAGGCTCCAGCCCCCATTTTTGGGGTCACGCTCCTGTCCTGGAGACCTGCACCCCATAAAACCCACACCCCAAAACTGGGGGGGGGCACAGAGCTGTAATTAATTTCTTTATAAAATTGTAATTAGCAATTAGCTCCTCCCCCCCCCAGGTAAGGCCTTATTAACGGTCGTTAATATGAACCCGGTTAATTGCACAATAAAAAGGCATTGTGGGAGCGGCGGGTTTGGGGGTCCCCCCTTGTCCATGGGCAGGGATTGAGCTGCCGGGGGGGTGCGGGGGGAGGGCG